ATAGTAATCACCGTAGACGTCGACGACGACCACGGCCCCGCCAGCAATGTATGCAAAGCACGAGTTAACGGTATCGAAACCGGTAGGAGAGGAGCAGGTAGAGCCGACCACTCGTTTCAGAGATAGGCGGGAGGGAGCGGATGTGTTTGAGGAGGCAGAGGCGGAGGTGGCGGCGGCGAGATCATTAAATGTTCTTGAGCGGATGGGAGACCGGGACATGCGGTTTATGAAGGGCGAGTTGGAAGGCGTCAGTTTGAGACGGTTGGATGGAGTAGATGCCATTTTGCTGCCATTTGGGGGTGAAAGAAGGCGTATGCTGAGTGACCTAGTTGATTGGGTATATGGATGGCAACTGTCGTCGACGGTAACGAGTATATGTCAAAATAATGTACCTGGGGAAAAAGGATACTCCCAAATGCTGTGTACACGCATTAGCCACAATGTGGTGGACGAGTTCGGGTGGGAAGCGGCACAGGATACAAAAGTAAACAAGCCCGCTTTAGGGCGAAATCTGGTGATGCGATGCAAACAACCGCAGTCGAAACCAGAAAACGGTGTAACAGGGCGACAAACTTACAGTGAGTGAATAAATAATACAGAGCGAGTGGAGACGAAGACAAATGACAAGAGAGTGTGTTGTAACGAGCGACAGTCGATTGACGACAAAAGATGGACGGTGAAGACGCAGTCGACGGAGAGACGGTGAAGACGCGACGGCTGGTTCACGACGTCCCCAGGGAACGTAGGACCATCACGAAGCCGCGGCTGGGGCAAAAGGTGGGATGGAGGGAGACGTTTGTCCGAGAGTAAGTCGTCGAAGTAGTTTTTTTTCGCCCGGAGAATTCTGTTGATTCCTGATCATAGAAATGTAAGTTGTTGAGCTGTCTGTGCTGTATCTCGCGATCACTGGCGATCATTCGTTCACAGGCGCCTCAGCTCTTTTGCCGGTGCAACTGCAAAGTGCTTGGAGCGACCTAAAAAAGAGAGACTGAGCACAAAGAGACGACTATCCGGTGGAAAGAATTGAGTGGCACGAAAAAAGGTGGTGAAATTGATCTCGCACGAGATGATGAGATTTGGGGTGTGGGATTCGTGTAGTGGATCGTATCGAGGCAAGAGCGAAGGGGTGGCTGCCCCGGTTGGTCTTTGGTGTGCAGTTTCCTTTCGTCAACGGCTCCTTGGCAAGTGAGAAGGAGAGGCAAAGGGATCGCGAGGCACCCCGTGCGTATCTAGAGGACAGAAGCAGAAGCAGACACGAGAAAGAATACGACGCAGACAAGGCCTTGTTTCGCTTGTTCTGCGAAAAGCTAAAATACGGTCGTTGCCCAGGATGCAAGCTGAAGTGCCAGGCGAAAGGCCAAATGAGACCACTCGTACCTGCCGCCTGGGGCGCTATCAGTAATTACCCCTAGAATACAGCAGAGTTATTCACTGCTTCCTCGCTTTCACATTCGTGGGCAGGGGTGAAGGCTGTGTGGGGAACACTAGCCGGTACTTTCCACTTCCTATCGCAGTCGTTAAATTTTTTGTTTTCTTTTTTGGGTTGGGAGGGCGACCTGAGTCGACATTTGCGCGGGGTGGCAGCACCAAATCGTCTTCCCAAGCCGGCAAGCGCATTGCCTCTTTAGGCTTGGCTCCAGGGGAGGCCAGGCCTAATACGACGCTGGGATGATGAACCGTCCAAACGCTCGCAGGCTCTCCAACGTCAAGTCGAGGAAAACCCGGAAAGAGGACCGCAGAGCGGCTGGTGCGTTTTTCCCCATCGCCAGTCGCTCCTTCCCTTGCACCAGAGGTTCCGTTCTTGCGGGTCAATGCGGCGATCGCTTTTTAATCAACTCACGGCAGTCGCGTCAAAAGGGGGCCAGCAAGGAAGCAGTGGCCACAAACGACGGAAAGTGCCTATTGAGGAAAGCACCTCTGGCGCACAGTACAGCAAGGGCTCTTCAACGGCTCATCCAATCTAGCTATCCCCGTATTGTGCCTTTGACCACGAGAGTTCGAATTACGCAGCCGAAAGTGCAGAACGCGAATTGCCCCCCAGCAGAGCTCAGAACCTACAAAACTCTCCGGCGGACCATTTCAGGGCTGAGCTAGGAAAAGCCCGCTGTAAGCTCATCTCCACGAAGAAGTGAAAGCGCAGCGAAATTGGTGCCAAACGGGTCTCGAGAAATACAATACGGACGCCGCCAAAGGCAAGGCAAGACGTTTGTAACTTCCAGAGTGCCGATTCTCGAGGGATACGTATCTTTGCGCAGTACGGAGTGCTCAGTACAGAACGGTTGTGCGGAACTGGCAGGGGATCCGAAATGAAATTGCGACCCTCCTTTGGGACGAACTTATGGGCTCGCCTGACCGGGGCATCGCTTCAGCACTCATTTCCAAGAAGACTGTGGTCCAGATCATGCTTGGTCCAGGAACGGCCAAGGTGTGACTGGCTCGAGCGAGCCCTAGCTGTGAGAGGTGCGTATTGTGCGACGTTGTTTGCAAGGTGTGATATGAAAGCGACATGAGCGCGTTTGTTTCATGGCTCCTCTGATTGCAGGATTATTTGTACTTTTGACAACAAAACCCGAATGATTCAAGACGAGTACGAGTGCACCAGCTTTATGCGAGGCGAAGCGAGATGGCTGCACTAGGTACGAGACACACTACGAGATACACTACGAGGTGTACGAAGTAATGGTTGACCGCGTGCCGGCTGTGCTGGTCGTAACCGAGAAATCCGTGCACCTCAGAGTGCACCCAAGGTATGCATCTCTACGCCGTACCCTTTTAACCTTTGGAGAGGCATTGTTTTTTCACGTTGGCTCACATGGAACGGGTGCGCAAGAAAGATGAGATGGATTTGCTTCGTACTTTGTAATTAATGCCGTCAAAATTGCACATATGCAAAATATAAATCAGTGGGTATAAATCTAGTAAGAGTGTGGGGGTTGGATATAGGCTTGCTCTGGTGTTGCCCTCAAACCCTTCGAAAGGGTCACTCATCCGTCAAGTCCTTGTCGTCCTTGCTGCTCCGCCGCAGCCTTGCCTGGCGACCAGGGCTCTGGCTCCGCGTGACTTTGCGGAGGGTCGTCCCGTGCTCGGGAGTGAGCAGCACAGAACGCGACGGCGCATCCACATCTTCGCTGCTATCAATGGCTCGCTGCATGACGTCGGCGGATGGGACACTCTCTGTCCCATAGATGCCCTCTTCAGACAGGCTGGCCTGGAAATTCTGCCGGTTCTGACGTGTCTGGCGCAGGATTTGCCGTCGTGACAGGATCGGATTCCGGTTCAGCATCCGCCGCCGGCCGCCCGACCACGATGACGGCTCCCGCAGAATGCCCTCGGCTTGCCAGCGCTTCGGCGGCTTGCGGCCCAGCTCGGCCCAGCGCGACCATACCTGCTTGCCGCGCTCGAACCAGCGCATCTGGCGATCCTCTTCCTCCTCGGGCGTCGCCTGCCACTTGCTCTTGAGGATGCGGCGTATGGCCTCCGGTGAGACCTTGAAGTGGCCGGCGAGGGCGGCCGTGGTGTAGACCTGTGGGAACTTGCGGTGCAGAGCGCGAATGCCCTCAAGCGCGTCAGGGGACAACTTCTTGCGCGGGTTCCAGCCACCAGGAAACTTTTCACGCAGCGCTTGCTTCTGGATCTGCCACGGCTCCGGGCGCTTGGGGAGCGGCCGCGGTTTCGTCTTCGACTCTGCTGTATCCGGGGACGGCTTGGCGGGCATGCCATCGTTGGAGCCTGTCGGCGCAGCCGACTTGACCTTTGTCTTTGGCTTGGGCGGCGTAGCCTGCGCAGCCTGTGTCGCAGCACCGCTCGCAGCACCGCTCGCAGCACCGCTGGCTGCCGCCTTTTCGAGCGCCCGCCGCTTTCGCCGAATGTCTTTCTTTGCTTGTCTTTTTGCCTCCTTTTCCTCCATCATCTTCTCCAACTTGCTTTTCTTTCCCCTCTTTTCCTTCTTTTCCTTCTTCGGCTTGAGCTTCTGCACCAATTTCGCTGCTTCGGTTGGGTCCACCGACCCTGCTGCCGCGCCTGCTACTGCCGCTGCAGCTTCCGCGGCCAGTCTCGCAGCCTCTTGTTGTCTGCGTATTCTTTTCCTCATATTCTTTCCCGGCTTTATATCGGACGCTTGTTGGTTGGTTCGCATGGGGGATGTCGTCGCACTCACGTGCTCCGTCTCCGCGCCGTCGGTCACCGCCTGCAGCGACTGGACATTGTTATCCCTTGGGGATGCAGAGGTCGCAGTGTGCGCTTCGGTCTCGCTTGTATGCCTCTCCACTGCTGTATTTATGTGCTCTTCGCTGGCGCTGCCAATGTCGCTGGAAGTAGCCTCGACCTTCTCGGCCCACTGTGCATTGCTGAGCAGGTTTCGCGACATATGGAATGTCCGAGTCGCTGTCGTCGACTGGAACGGCGACACGGATGGTCGGCGTGCCGTTGTTGTAAGCAACCGCCAGTGCCGTACAGCTGCCGTCGGCACTCTGGTTGTCGTCGCTCGTGTAGCAACTGTTGCTGGCACCGATCCGACGAGGCTGCGCACAAACATGCGTAGCGCTGCTGTGCGGCAGGCACAGTGAGAAAAAGTGTTCATTGTTATGAATTCATTGGCGCAATGAATAGAAGACAAAAAAAAAGAAAAACGAAAATGCGCCTAAAAGGGGAACAGAACAAGAATACGGTCAGGTCGTGTGCTGTAGACAAACTGGCTGATGTCTTCAGATTAGACCAGAAGCGAAAAAATAATGTTGCTAAGAAATCGCGTCTGTAATAACGGCGTGGCACCTTATCGATTAGCTGGAAGTGGGGCTTCTTCCAGTGGGTAGAAAAGTAGCGCTGCAAGACTTCTTTTGAAATATGTTCAATTCATATTGATGGCAAGTTCCCAGGCAAAGACGCGAAAAGACTAGTTCTCTATTCTATTGATACAGACCATCTCGCGCTCCACCCCATCACACTCTCGTCTCTTCACACCCCGCCCTGAGTCCCCTTAATATCGCTTCCTTTTCTCCCATCTACTCCAGCATTGACGCCTGGTTGGTGTACAGCACGTCCACCACGTTGCTCAGCTTGTCAATGGTCGCCAGTGCCGCATCGTAGCTCTCGTCGCGCTCCGTCTCGTCGTAGATAATCAGACATCCCGCGCCCTGGTCCAGCACGCCGATAATGACCTTGTCTAGGATCATCTGGGACAGCTTGCGTTCGACCTGCTGGGTGTCCAAGCCGACCATGGTGGCAATGTGGTCGATCTCGACGCGCGAAAAAGGCTCAATGACCTTGATCAGGTTCTGCTCCAGCATCGAGTCGTACAGGCGGCGCAGGTGGTTGCGCACAAAAGCGTCGCCGCCCAGCTCATAGCGGTATGTGACCAGTGCGCGCTCGTACTCCTCGAGCGAGCGGTTGGCGTGCGCGCGCGCAATGGCCTTCATGGCCTCGAGGCTTTGGCCCGCGTACTTGACGGCCTGCTTCGAAACCATCAGCTGGTTCACGTCATCTGACAGGTTCAGCATAATCTTGCACAGTAGCATGTACTGCAGGGCCGCCGTGGCCTTGGCGGGCTCGTCCTGCGTGTGGTAGCCATCGAGCGCCTCGATAAAGTAACTGAATGCCGTGTTAAAGTCCTTGTCCTCGGCGTGCAGCATGCCCGACTGCATGTCCAGGTTGGCCTGCAGCAGCGGCGGGGTGTAGACGGAGGCGGCACTCGTGCGGGCACTGGTGAGTGCCGCACGCGCCTTGGACACGTTTCCGAGTGCGTGGTACACGCGCGACTCGAGAAGCTGCACCTCGACCAGCACCAGCTTGTCGTCCAGGCGCTTGAGCTCGCGCAGCAGGCCATTGATGAGCGTCAGTGCGTCGTAGTACGCCTGTTTGGCCATATAGAGAGTGACCAGCCGTGTCTCGAGGTTCTGGCGCAGGAAGCCGCGGCGCTCCGACGTTGCCCATTCTATGCACGACTTGGTCACGGCAATCTGGGTATCGGTGGTGTTGGGGATGTCACGGAAGAGGTCGAGGAGTTGCCGTACTGGACGTTGTCAGTACCGCCATATGGCCGCGATGAATCTGAAGCAGAGGGGAAGCAAGAACCTACCGAGTTTCGCCGTCTTTGCCTTCGCAAAGGACGACAGCACCGTCCGGCTCCGTGTTACCAGGTCGACGAGCTCATTGGTGTTCCTACACGAGGGCATTTTGTCAGTCTTAGGAGAACGTTTGGTATGCATCGTCGCCTGCGCCATAGCAACTCACTTCTGGTCCCGGTACAGCTCCCCCAGGCCAATCAATGCCACCTCGTACTCCCGGACAGCAGCATCCGACGTAACCGATGGTGGCTTCGCGATGACCTCTTTATAGATGGATTCGGCCTTAGCCGGGTTGGACTTTGCCAGCTTCTTGGCTTCCTGCACCCGCTCCGAATCGGCGGCGGCCATGGCGGACGAAAGTGAGTGAGGTAGTGGGTGGTTGTGTCTCGCGTGGGAGTCGTCGAGGGAGAGGAAAAGGTCGTCGGTCGAGACAGATGTCGGCAATGTGGAATGAGGAGTGGGAAGGAGTCGCCTTGTTGAGATAGTTTGGATTTATCTATAAAAAAAAAGAATATGTAAGGTCGTGTGCGCTGCAGAGTGCGACTGTCGTGGGGGGATGCGAGGCAATGCGCGAAAGAGGAGCTACTGGGGCTGGACAAACAGAACTTGAGGCTGGACTGAGAGCTCTCGCCGTCACTGGCCCTTGCCCACCTCTAGGTTGCCAACGGACGCGAAGGCTGCACGTTGGAGCAACATTGGTGTGACAAAGCATATCACGTGAAAATAGTCCCGTGCTAGGTCACGCGTGGCTCTAGCGCCGCTCCACAAACAGGCACATGGGGCGCTTGGAAAACACAGCAGCAGCTCGTGATTGGTTGTCACAGATAAACCCCTGGCGCTGGAGTCGGCCGCTCCAGGGAGCTCTTTGGCCTAAGCACAGCTGGCTAGTCCCCACTAACAGGCCCCTCGTCGAAACCTCGAAACGTTTCTCAGTCCGAGTGCTCCCCTGGGTGACGTTTCGAAGGCAAGAAGGACGAGCAGAAAAAGAAAAAGAGCGCTCGGTGTCTTTGTGGTGCGTGGCAATTGCTCTGTGTCCGCTCCTCGATTGTTGACGTTTCCATCCTCGTCGTCTCGTCTGCACATCCTCGTTTAACATCTGCCAACATCTCTTCCTCGTCACGCTGGGCGTAACTTTGAAAACCTCTCCCACTTTTGGTCTCATCCTCTTCCTTGTTTTCGTATTTATTTGTCTGCCTCTTCTCGCCGTTCTTGTTTCTCTTGTCTCTTTCGTCTGTTCTGTTTCACTGACGAGACGACACATCTTCTACCTCTCTCTCAACTTCTGCTTCTCAAACTACTTCTCCGCCCCCTTTCGCACACAATGGACGCCTTCCAGCGGCCGCCAACCCGCGACTCGTGGTTCGCGCCCTTCTCCGTTGACCTTGTCCTCAAGGTCCTCTATGTCACCTTCCTGCACCCATTTGTGGCCTGGATCGTCGTTCTGTGCTTCCGCGCCGAGCACATGGAGTGGACTGCCATGCCGATCCGCGCCGCCTCGATTTATGCCTCTGTCGTAACGGCAGGCTGGGTTCTGAGCGCAATCAACCGGCGCATTGCCTTTGGCCAGCCGCGGACGGTCGACTTGAGCGAGGAGGTCATTGTCATTACTGGTGGCGCAAGCGGTCTTGGACTGCTGATCGCCGAGGTCTACGGTATGCGCGGCGCGACTGTCGCCGTGCTGGATGTCAAGGAAATGGAGAATGGCGAGGCCCGCGGTGTCACTTACTACAAGTGCGATATTACAGACAAGGACCAAGTCATCAAGGCGGCCGCCGACATTGAGAGAGATGTACGTCCTTGTATCATGGTTTCGCACCGCGACGTCTGCCCCCTGCTAACGAAAACAGCTTGGCCCGCCCACCGTGCTGATCAACAACGCTGCCGTTGTCAATGGAAAGCGTCTGCTTGACCTCGATTACGCCGAGATCGATCGCACCCTGTTCACCAACCTCGCGTCGAACTTCTACACTCTCAAGGCCTTTATCCCCGGCATTGCACGCAGCGGCCTTGGAGGCACGATCGTCACCATTACCAGTGTTCTCGGCGAACTCGGTGCTGTCCAACTGTCTGACTATGCTGCCTCCAAGGCTGGCCTGTCTGCCCTGCATCGCTCCCTAACCGCCGAGCTCAAGACAAGCCACCCGGACATCCGCACGGTGCTCGTCACCCTCGGCCAGCTCAGCACGCCGCTCTTCTACGGTGTGCAAACACCCAGCTCCTTCTTCGCGCCCGTCGTGGAGCCTGTCGACGTTGCCAAGGACATTATCAGCGCAATTGACAGCGGCCGCGCCGAGTCCATTGGTATGCCACTCTACGCGCGCTGGGTGTCCTGGTACCACGTGCTGCCGTTGAGCCTTCAGCAACTTGCACGGTGGGCATCTGGTATTGACACAGCCATGGCGACCTTTGTTGGCCGGAACGCGGCCGCGGCGAGCAAGGCGCAGCAGTCGGAGAAGCAGGCTGTTCTGATCGAGACTTCATAGTCTTGCCAAAACCCTCTTCGATGCGTCGTAATCACGTTGGCTGCTGCTGGCCAGTCGCCAACGCCTGCACAAGACGAGAAATAACAAAAGTGTAAATTTAGAGAAATGGGGGAGGAAGCTCTGCGGTTTCTCGTGTACGATCTTAGTAACTTGTCATAGTTGAGACCACTTAGACACAGACACTCCAGCGATTTGGGAATATTTGTTAAAATGCAATCTACCGGTCTTTCGCCAAGTTTTGCTCTAGAACAATAAGCACACCCTCGAGAAATTGCAATACCCATGCTGACCTACGTTGGTGCATTCCCGGCTCAGTTAATTCTTGGTCCAAGACTTGTGGTTACCAGCCTGTCTCTTCTGGAGCAAGTCAAAAACAAGACCAGAGAAGTTCGGACGACTTTGGCCCACCTCCAACCATCGACATCAGAGACTAATAAACGAGTTTGCTTATGATCACAAGCCACGAATCACAGTCACATAAATCTGTCATCGTTTGGTGAATGAAATACTTCCCACTTTGATGTCTGGGAGCGCATTTATTGCTTAAAACACAGTTTTCCCTAACATGAAATTTTTTTGTCCGTCATAGAAGAAGCTTTCCCTTCCCAGCTCTCCTTAATATTGTTTCATTTGCCTTGTCCGTCAGTCGGCCTCTCCTTTGATGTCTGTCGCCGTAAGAGCGCCAGAAACTCCGTATGCAAAATTGAAAGTCCCAGAAAACAGAGACAGGCACAACAAAGCAAAGAAAAGTGGTAACAAAAACGTTCGATGCTCTGGCGTAGTAGATTATCGGCGTCCTGTGCCCACAGGCCGGCTTTCCGTCCAAGGTTGCCGCCACGATAAACCACGACGTTCTCATCAACGCCGTCGCCATCGTCGGCGGCGTCAACGACTCCGCCACCCTTCCCGCAAGCAGCAACAGCACCATACACAGCGCGCACAGAAGGAGCCACGCTACGTTTACCGGTACCGCCACAGGGACAGGGTGTTGTGGCGCTTCCAGGTCTTGCGGCGGCCAGCACGGGTCTTGTTGAATTTGTGGCCCTTGTTGAGGCCGCGGGACTTCTTGCCGGTGGCGGTAAGACCGCGCGATTCGCGGTGCTTGTGGACCGGGTTGACGATCCAGTTGATGCGAGGGTCGCGGCGGATGGCGGCGTGCTGGGGGTCGACGAGGATGACCTCAAAGTACTTGTAGGTGGAGTCCTGGTTGATCCAGTACGAGTTCAGCACGCGCAGGTTGGCGCAGCGGCGGCCGACACGCTCCTCGGCGGTCGACTTGAGCGAGCGCTGGTACTTGAGCTGGTTCACACCCTGGTTGGTCGGCTTGCCGTACGTGGCACCCTTGCGAACGGGCTTCTTGCGGCCACCGCGGCGCACACGCACGCGGTAGATCACGTAGCCCTGCTTGGCCTTGTAACCGAGACGGCGGGCCTTGTCCGGGCGGGACGGGCGCGAAGCACGGTGGATGACGTTCAGCTGGCGGTACTACAATGCAGAAAAACACTCTCAGTCAGCATTGATTGAAACCAACAGACAATTTCAATGACAAAGCGACAATGATCAACAAGTGTCTTTTATGCCCGGGATCCTAGGACGGAAGTTGAGAACGGAAAAGAGTCGGAAAGGATGGTCGTCGAGACAAGAGGTAATGAAGAAAGATCGCGAACGAGGTGAGACTGGTAAGAACATGTAGGCCGACGAGGCTGAAAAATTTGACAAGAGGACAATCGATTCGTACAGGAGAAGAAATTGTCTAAAATCTCTCGTCTCCCGAACCGTGATTTCGTCTCGAAAGCTTGTTCATGCCTCTCAGCCATCACACTGTCCCGTTCTCCCTCTTTCAATCTCTCTTCATCGCCCTCGTACCTCTCGCGCCCTGTCGTCTCTTTTCCTCCCGACAACTCGGCCTGGCGTTGTATGGTTCTGGCTTCCGTGGGAAAGACCGGCAACGAAGGGTAATGGAGATGCTTATTTCTCGAAGGTCGATGTCTGAATTCAGGAGAGTGGTGTTGTTTCAACGTACTTCCCAGCAGCGGACGCGCAGGAGGAAGCGCAGCACATCCGACTGCTTGCGCTTCTGGAGCTCTTCGACGTACTTGAGGGCACCCATTGTGACTATTGAGTTAGAAAACGAAAACCGAAGTGAAATGGCGACGGGATGAGGTGAACAAACCAGAGTTCTCTCGAAGATGGCGATGGTTGTCGTTGGTGGTGGTTGGGTGTTGGAGAGGGAAAAGGTCAAAACGAGTACGAGGGGAAAGATCCTTTCACACACTTTTTTTCTCTTCGCTACTTTTCGACGCTGGCTCTCTACCAAACTAGGGCCACTCGTTTTCCGGCGGTCTGAATGGGATTTTTCACACGGAAAAAGTGGGCCTCGCACTTTTTTGCGCCTGTTGGAGCAAAAAGTTAATTTTATTGTGGCCAGCCCTAACTTTTGTCGCCGAGCGCACTAGTCCCAGACTAGGGTAGCCTTGATGAGTAATATGTCACATGCTTTGGCATGTGTACGGCACTCTGCACTCTCCCAGACCCTCCGAACCCATTTTGTATGTCCGTGACCAGAGTGCCCAATCAGAAGCCGTCTTTGGACAACGTCGTCATCGTTTGGCCATCAAGCATTGTCGCGATACCAACTCTGCAGGTGACATAAGAAAGGAATACTACAGATCTTTCTTGTTATGATTCTGGTTGACTGTTCGCTTTGCACAAAATTGGAAATACTCAACCATATCAATATTTGTCGCTAATATTGGCCCTCATATGCGAAACAGAACAACATCATTGGGCTTTCCAATGGGGAATGATCAGAAGACCATTTTAAATAATGCAACACAGGCTTTATTTCTTCCAGGAGTGTCTATTAGAAGCAGCCTTTATGTGCCAAAGGAAGAGAGAGAAAGTGAGCAAGAGGGAGAAAGATGCTGTACAAAGACTGGCCACCACTTGATCTCCTCATCGTCTTTGAATGGTGGGGTGCAATACTTCGTTGGGAAATATCAAAAGTACCTAATACACAGAAGAGTACATTCAGGTACTTCCTGGACTTGACAAGCTGCTCCCGGAGTGCTTATTCTCTACCAATTTCCCCCACGCAAAATCAAAAGACAGACACGGGTGAGGCTGTAACCTGCGGCCATCTCTCCAATTTGCTAGGATGAAACACGTCTTATGATTCCTTTATCCCACTCAGCATCCCACTCCCCACACTGTATGATTTGCCTGAGCAAGAAAACTGTTACGTACATACGTTCATGTTCTGGTTGGCCAGTTCAGCGCCCTTTCATAGGCTAACGTCACTGGACCCTCGTGATCACCTTCCCTCCACGAGAGATGATAAGGCTCGCCCCTTTTGTATTCTATTTCGGTCTCGGCCACACTGCTTCAAGGGTATCTGCCTAAAGCAGCGCCGATGGCTGAGGACTAAGACGGCGTCGTGGTGGCCCCGAAAGAGGATCCATCCTGCCCTGACCGACAGCCAAAAACGGGCATGTGATCTCCTGCCAGATACAGCTCACCGACAGAGGTTAGTGGGAGGGAAGAAAACTCTGTTGGCACACTTTTTTTTCGCCTTGAACGAAGTACTATGGGATGTGGCAGTTTGTACCTTACCTGGACAGGGAATGTGTCGTGTGTGGTAACGTGCAATAAATGGGTTAGTCCTCAGACGCTTCTAGAACGCCTCGGAGGCGTTTGCGTAGAGCTGGTTTCGTTCTGGAAAATGATAAATAACAAAAAATAAGTCAACAGGTAATGGGTCTAAATGACAATTTCATGCGAGTAAAATGATAACCAAAAGCGCTAGCTTACAACGGAAAACCCCGATGTTACAACAGCCCAAGCAGCATTTACACCACGAGACAACTATGATGGGTGTCTCCGGAAGTCCAGGCAGAGTTGAGGGATGAGGTCGGAGCCCATCATCGCCACCAGTTCCGCCACCTTGTTCTTGAAACTCGTGCCATCCGTGACTGTGCCCTCGTCCCATACAGCCAGGTAATGAACAGGAAACATGGTTGGCTGCAGCGATGTCAGAATCGGGATGTCATCGAGGTGGTACCGAGCGACGGTTGCCATGGACGGTAGGCCTGGCATATTGCTCGTGAAGAGCGGTACATTCGGCGAGTCACTATTCTCAGCGTCCGAATCCGAGTCATCGTCGTCGCCATTGTTGGCTTCACCGTCAAGGGCGGCAATTGGTTCCCCCGATTCTTCCCTCGTGCCTGCCACGGCGTCACCTCCATCAGGTGTGTGCTCCTCTACTGCCGGCCCATGGAATGTCAACGGTTTTCCCAGACCGAAAAGGCCAAAGCCATAATTGTCGCTGTCGCCGTTAGGGTGTTGCTTCAGCAGCTTCGTTTTATACTCCTCCACCCGCTCATGCGAGAAGCTCACGTAGGGCTGTTTATCGAACTTGGCCAGTGCCTCTTTGTCCAAGAGATCCCAGCTGGAGGGTAACTCGGGATCGAGCACATACTGCGGCGCAAAATCAATCTTGTACCGCATCTTGGGACAGTTGTGGATATAGTAGCCTGAGTACCACCAACGATAGCCACCCTCGAGAGCCAGCGCGATCTCTCTAAGCGCGCCGAGTTTGCCAGGGCTGAGATTATGAATTGACTCGTGGTACAAAAAGTAGACGGCACTAACGCAGTCTGGTAGCAGGTCAAGAACGCCAATGGCGACGAGGCGGCCGTCAAGACGGTAGCACTGGTGAAACGAGCCGAGTTTTTTCTGCCGGCCACTCCTTTCTGTAAAGGTTTCTCGTCGCAAAGGAGAGTTGCACAGAAAGTTGGTAAAGCCTCGTTTGGAGATCTTGGACGGTGGTTCTTTGTGCACCATGCGCTGGTAGTTTTCAAAAACTTCGTACTTTTCGTCGCTGTATGTATCTGGCTCCAAGGTCACTACAAACCGGTGGGCGGGTTCAATGGTCTTTGTCAGTTCTGGTTCCACTGGCAATGGGACTGATGCTGCTTGGCCATCGTTGTCGCCGACGGCCCTCTGTGTTTTGTAAGCCTTGTGGCCGCGACTTGAAGGGAGTGGTGGTAGGTTGTCGCTTTCAGCCTCATGAACGCGCTCAACTAGATCGAACGTCGTATCACGTCGCTTTGTTTCTGCACGGGAACGAGGATTCACGCGGGCAGCCACTCTGGCATATTCATCCCCGATAATAAACCTGCTGAACCTGTTGACAGCCTGACGCTGGTCTCGTGAAGCGTGGAATGCATTTGCATCCAAGCGTATGGAGTAGTGAGGACAACAAGCCTTTCTTTGGTTCGGACGGTAAAGCAGCGTGCCGGACCGCCTCCAGCACCGGTCCAGTAAAATCTGGTACAGCTGGGGAGTCAAAGAGTGGCTGGAAGTATAATATGAAAACCCTAGATCTTGTTAGGAACAACCGAGGACGAATATGAACGGTACGACCACACGTCACATTAATGCAGTTCAGTAAAATCAAAACCAAACAATAGTGCCTAGCTTCGCAGCATTACTCGGTCGGCAACCGAGAACAGCGTCGGTCGACGGAGTGTAATGACGACATGTCATGGTCGGTGTTCTTGGTGGGGGTCAATGATGTGGAGGCATGTCACATGTGGTGTTGGCTGACCCTGTCATTTCCAATAAAGGCAATTTCTGACAACAGGCACAATACACTTGCAGGTAACTCCAGGTCAACGACAACACGGCATTGGCCGGTGCGCGGCCCGAAAAAGTTGACGTCGGGTAAACCCAGGTGCATCGGACAGGACAAAATAAAAAGAAAAAAGAAAAGAAAGAAAAAGAAAGAAAGAAAGAAAATCATCTTACTTTTATTCGGCTTCCCACTGGTGGCATCGTTATGACAGTAACCACAGGTTGGTGAGTTACAGTAACCTAAAGAAGGACAAAACTTTGTGAGTACGGAACAGGTTTGAGCAGGAACGAGGTCTGAGGAGGCATCGCAAATGACCAGTTGCACGACCAGGATACAAAACATGAAAACACAAATGTCAAGAAGGAATACAAAAATGAGTCACATGGGTATCTGGACCAGAATTGAAACGTAATACGTGGGCAACGGAGAGTGAAGGAACGTCCCACGCTGCCGGGCAAGGAACACAGGGGAGATGGGGAATACACAATGATCTGGTTCTGCAACCTACATTAGGTCCACATGCAGACGACTCAACTGAAAGAAAAACGTTGAAGTTCGGGTGTTATATGAGAGAACGAGCACAAATGGAGTGGGGTGGTAGACATAAGAAAAAGACTTAATAGTGAAGGTAGGTTGGTGAAGGTGGATCGGATCTCACGAGCCCTGACAGGACAAATGAATTGTGAAAAAGCTTAACAATCTTGGTGTGTTTGGTGCATGTTCTACGGCCAGGACGCCTATGAACAAAGTGGTGTGGGGGGATTGCGGATTGGACAGATGTCGCTGTAGGGAGAGATGAGCCAACGGTCGGGGCCAAAAGATGCACGAGGGTGAATGGTTGGGCGAGAGGGTACAATGAAGTGCTGGGTGGGTTTTGTGGCGAGACGTAGGTAGTTTGTCAGGTGAGGCAGGCAAGTCACTTTCATAGAACCGGCACACAATTGTTCGTAGCACAGCACAGCTCGTGCATATGCTTATGAGAAAACGTGTTACCAGTTACACGCCATAAACACAACACAACCCACAGGGCGAAAATAGGCACAAAGTCGTAAAATCAACTGGAGGAAAGAGCTTGCAACTCACCAATTGGCATGATATATGATAAGCGGTCTCTCGGAAAGCCCATCTCAGGGTGTTCCATGGTGGCGGGTTCGCAGGGCGCGGTCTCGGTGTATTGTGATGAAAGCGGCGAGCGAGAAATATGGCGAGATAAAAGGGCGTAGGGCGGGAAGTGAAGGACAGACAGCGTAAAAGCACCGGCGTTGTCAAGATCGTCCGTCGAAGAAGTGTCAGTGAAAAATCTCGACAAATTTGGATGATAGTAACAATTGGACACGGAGACCAGGTGGGGATAGGCCAAGGATCAGAGGAGACCAAAGATGTCTGAAGAGAGGCCTAAAAGCGCATCGACGGGAAACAGCAAAGGTCAAAACAATGTAGAGCAGTAAACAGTATGCGCCTTGTGTGTCAGTAGTGCTGCACCAGGCCCGCCGAAGCTCGGTAGTGCCTAAATGAGGCTATTTTAAACTGGAGCAGCCTAGTTGTGGTTGGCGGTTTAAAACTCCAGCAGCTGTGACAAACTGTTCAGTGGGTGCCAACCCGAGCGGCATAAAGGGAGGGTGCCGGTCGAGCCGGAGTCGTGAAGAGTACTATCGGCTGTTTCTCCGCTATGCCAGCAGCGGAAAACCCGTCCTCGGAGACCGCGGCGCAATCCAGATGTTGCGAAGACTAAGAGGAGACGACGTAGACGCAATGCAGTGCATCTGTTATCTTGTGTTGTAGGAGGTCGTGGGTTGTGAACGGCGAACGACTGGTTTCGATGTATCTTATAGTGTGGGATGCACAGCAGTAATCAACTGTGCCAGCCAGTCAAGACAGCTTCCGACGTGGTAACTTGCTTATGAAGCTAAACGAGAGAGAATTCAGGGGCAACTCAACATCCAAACACAGCCAAAGCAGGACAAGCCGATCGTGTCGCCGACGCGGCCCAAGGGTCGAAAATGCGGAAGCGGCAAGGAATCGGGCAAAGAAGGGGGAGCGGTTAGGCCAGTGGTCTGGTACTGGGGCGGTGATGTAATGTGGTATTGCCTCAATATGAACAAACAGTGGAAACACGAAGAGGCCCTGGACAAAAGGCTAGATAGGGTGGGCAAAAAGGCTGGGCCATTGGAAGAGTAGAGAAAGAACAATGGGGAGGAGGTGAGAGGAAGCGAAAATGATGGGTTGAAAGGGGGTGGTTAGTTTGGTGGGGTCTGGACACACGACAGTGGTCGCTCCTTCTGTTTTGGCCGCCAAAATAGGTTTTGAGCGAACCCAGATCGGGCAATCAGGAAAGAGCGAGAGGCCCGGTTCGCCCGCCCCAACCAAACGAAGGCAATGAGGGTACAAATATGTAGTGAACAGCATATGCCAACCACAACGTGCACCTCAACGCAGGATGTTCACATGGCCAATCCCGGACAGGCTTGTCGCCTTGAGGTGCAAAGAGTCGTTCTCTTCCAGACCTGCAAGGCACGTCTGTCGTCTCTGCCATGCTTAAAGGCCATCGAGTAAACCGTATATTCTTTGTCCATTTTCGTGTTTTATGGAGGCAGGAGCCACCCCGCGCAAGGTAGTTTGTCCGGTACCTTCGCACGTGCTCCGCAAAGTACTATGTACCTAAATCTCTACTTGGGGTAACTTGTCGCAAGTCACTTTACTAGATGCCTGGCAGTTCGCCTCTTTCGCATCATGCATCGCTGCTTCCTCTAAGCTCGGTATTCCTGTGCATTACTTATTACACCCCACGCAACTGCGGCAGGTGCGTCTCAATGTGGGTAGCCGCAGCGTCGTATGCGCATTCCACATTGTGACTAGCAATGAGAATCCAGAAGGAAAGAAGACAACAAATTTGCTTCACCGAAGTAGGGAATAATTAAAATTAACAAACGCAGATGCGGCAAACAACAGAGTCTCAGCGACCAAGAAAAATGATTTAACGAACGACTTTCCAAACAGCAAAGGATTTAGGGGAAAAAACTGCACTCCGTTGACCAAAAAAAAAAAAAAACGGAAAAGCTTTAGAAATTGTTAGCTGTCATTGCAACCCACGCACCACCAAAAACGAAGCTTTGCCCAAACTACTCGTAGCTTCCTTTTTTTCTTAGTTCGTTGCCCTACTTCCTCCCTCGTTCTTACCCTGGCTCCAACTTTTTCTGGCCTGGCCCTTTCGGTTCCTCAAACCGTCTTTTTTTCTGTATATATCAGTCTAGTTGTCACCATCAGGTGTTGCCCCTCGCACCTCCCTCTGCTATGGCACGAGACTTCCGTCTGTCTTCAACTGGACTCTCCAGCCAGGAGATATATTCTTCTTATTTACATTAACTCGTCCTCCAAACCGCTGCCAACACGACCACGAACTTTGCCATCACCACACCTTCATCTCCGCGCCCTCCGTTCCGTGGCAAAATCTACCTGCTGTTGCTCTTGTGACTACTGGCACGGTCACGCTTACGTCGTACCTCCGACTTGCGGTTCCATTTGCGTCGCTTCCCCAGCTCTTCTTGCACAAGCCAGAGTACATTTCTCTCCCTTAACATCACCTTCTTAGCATTTCCCTCTGACGCACGGCACTTAACTCTGCTTGGTCTTGTTCGCATCACCCTCGTTGGACGATTCTTACCGTCACCCAAAGCGAACATCTGCTGAACAGTGAATCGCGGTTCTACAGAGCGTGGTGCTTTGCATCTCGCCGCGGCCGGCAATTTTCCTCGCGACGACCGACCTCAATCACGAAAGGCACTCTCGTCACGTCTGTGAACGGAGGGTTGACGTTTCAGCGTTTGGCCGAGAGATCTCTATTACGCAGAACCGAAGCTAGATCACCCCAATTACGCAGCTCTCTAGCGCATTTGACGCCCATTACTTACTCCTCCCTTGTCTTGCCTTCGCTCTCTAACAGTCCGGTTCTCCGTCGCTTATTACGCCCTAATTCCGAGTTGTCGAGGGATTCCCTTTAGATGCGAACGCCAGGCTCTCCGTCAGGGTTGCTACACAGATCTACAGGTCCCCTCATCGCGCTGCATCCCGATAGTGTGGGCCGACCTCGCAACTTCACACAGCTTCAAGTCTTTTTGTGCCTTAGCACTTAGCAATTGCCTCGATTCAGACACCCCAGATCTATCGGTTACACAACAGCTACCTTTTGTGTTCCACGGGAAACTGATTCTCGACAACCGCTTTGCAGCTGGTTACTGTTTTGGTGGTGAAAAACCAGAACAAAGGAGAAAAGAAGAGGGCAAACGGTTTTGTACCGAGCGCACGCGACCAATCATCCCTCACGACAGGCACGATTCTGCGAAAGCCTTGCCTGCTACCGACGAACGAAACCGCGTCCTTTTGACTATACACCGCACCTACATGTCTATCGATACGACTATGCCGCTCGTTCAATAAAGAAGGCTCGCCTTTCTGCAACTACCCCCTTCGGCCTTTCTATATCAAAGACAACGCATTCAGCAAATTTCCCTGCTGCTGCTTTTGCAACGGAAATCCGCTCATTGAAAACCATATCAACTACTTCCACATCTACAAACAATACCTCGTTTTCGATTTCTTGAGTACGCCGCGAGCTTCGTCCCTCTCTACCTCCCTACATTCCATTCCCACATCAAAACCCCACAAAATGGCTTCAAGTACAACAACAAGTAGCCGGTCAATGGAGTCGAGAACCGGGCGTTCAAAGCAGAGTAAGCTTCGCAATTTTAGAGAACTTCATCATACTAATCTTCTGCCCTGCCGTGTAGTTATGCTAACAGTTGGCCTCTCCTATTAGGATATAACTCAAAAGGCGAACGGCTAGTTGCTGGTGTTGTTCCCCTGACTGAAGACAAACGATTTGTTCTACTCATCCAATCAGACCGGAGAAAAGGCTGGGTTCTGCCAAAAGGCGGCTGGGAAACCGACGAAGATTGCCAGTCGGCCGCCCAGAGGGAGGCTTGGGAAGAGGCTGGCATTATTGTCCAGATCGAGTACGATCTGGGCGATATTGTCGAAAGCCGCCCACCAAAAGCGCCATCAAAAACAAAGAAGCGCGAAAAGGCGCTCTATCGGTTTTATGAAGGCACCGTCGTCAGCGAGGAGAACGAGTGGCCCGAAAAGAGCAAACGGGATCGCTGCTGGATGACCTACGTCGATGCAGCTGAGGCCTTAAAAGAGCGTCCAGAACTTCTAGAGGCGCTTGAACGATCAACAATAAAACGCCTCGTTTGAACTGACTGGATTCAAAGTCACTGCAGACTCTCGACAAATTTAAACATTCACGGCTTTAGGCACTGATTCGCCATCCATTCCACTCCTCTTTCCTCCTTTATGCTATTTGTTCGTCTATACTGCGGTCTACTTCTGACTGCTTTCTCTGGGTCCATTTAACCTACTTACATCATGTTTTCTTCCCTGTTATATCATTTCCTGCGAAGACTGCTCTATGGTCTTTGTTCCACTTTTGCGCCACTTCATGTTTTGGGAGAAAACACGGGTTCATGAAAGCAACCGCCGGGGTCTGCGTTTCGGGGTATAGCATGTCTTAGAGCCTTGCATATTTGTTTTTTTACACTTAGGATTCATTCGGGTTGTTCCGGTCCATCACGGTTTGGCCTTCTACCTTTCAACTTCTACGTTAAGCCTCCCTCTGCATTTCATTCCTTCACGGACGCCGTATATATGAGACTTCCATTTACACGGAGGAATCTAATGGGTTGTTTTGGGGGCCTGTAATGGCAAAGGAAAGTAAAAAAAAACGGATGGATCATTATGGCGATGTAGGAGTTTTTTTGATTTGTTTTGCCTTTTTGCCTTCGTCTTATTTTTGATACGGCGGAGCCCTTGTTGTCGCTGTCTGACGTGTTCTTTTTCTCATTTTTTTTCATCGTTTTATATCTCGCTCCAGAGAAACAACTCATAAAGAGTCACAAAACTTTTTTGCATACATGTAAACGGAGTTTCAAGTGGTTAGACTATCATTATTCTACCATTCCCGTGTGTCTTCCGCGGAAATGCACGGGTTATCTGTTGGGAAAGTATCTTAAAAAGTTGAAAAGACGACGACTAGAGTTTAATTCCGGGCATATTCATAGAAGCCATCTTACACGAAATTAATGCCCACATAGAGTACTTTCTACTTGTATATAGAGAACTGGCGGCTTCGTTTCGAGTTTTATTTTTGATAGACACATTTGGATGGCTGGCTATTCCGTAGCCGGGCGTGGCATGACGAACTTTCGCATCCTCCCACAATAGAGTCTTGGACCCGGCATGACTTTTGAAAACATATGTGAGACATTAATAATTAATTATGTAGGGACGACCATGCCCTTAGGTTAGTACTATTCACACGGTCTCATTCGAGCAATTTAATGGTGCTTGGTTTCTTTGAACGGCATACCAGCTGAACTACTGTACGTGACTATGTTGCTATAAACCGCTCCGAATCTTTTGCAGCTGGCTAATGAAACCATAGCCGGCCGCCGCGTAGCCCCGGCTCGCCCCAGTGCCGGTAGCCGACCCGTCGAGCTGGGCTCCTTGGCCCGCAGAAGAAGCAACGCCGCCACTGGCACCAGTGCCGTTGCCTTGGCTACTCTCCCGCTCCAGCTTCTCCCGCTGCTGGCGCTCTATGCGCTCCCGCTCGCGGTCCAGTTCCCTTTGCTTGTCCTCCACCATCCGCTGTAAACTTTCAATAAACTTCAAACGAGCTTTTTCTTCAGCTGTGCCGGCCCAGACGCGACACAGCGTACGAAGTGCTTCGACTCGTGCAGCAGCGGCCTCGGCTCCGTCGGTTACATTGGCACCGTCGAGCAGGTGGGCGATCTCGTCGCGCAGACCGCGCAGAATGCTCTGGCCCTTGTCTTCCATGCTCGTCATTGTCGCAGCATCCTGAGATCCACCTGCACGCGCAGAACCGGTACCACCGCTCTCCTGGTCAGGCCCAGACACAGACAGGAACCCGGAGGTGACAGAAATCGTCGACGGTGGCATGATAAACTCCATGGCTTCGCCAAAAGTGCGGATAACGGCGTCGAGGCGGGACCGCACTTGTGCCAGCATACGGAGCTGAGCAAGCGACGGCGGTTCAGTAGACGATTCGGACGAACCACCTGCTGCTGCTGCCGCCGCTACCGCGGCCGCGGCCGCTCCACGTTCTGTGCCTTCGCCACCGTCCGTCTTTGCCGACTCGGCTTCTGCTTTGTCGCCCGACGCGGCAATACCACTCTCGCTCTCCTCGAGAAGTGCTAGGTGCTTCTCCACAACCTCACCCAGTCCCAGCGTCTCGCCCCGCAGCAGTTGCACTTCATATGCCAGCCGCCGACCGCTCCGCAGAATGTCGTCAGTTAACTGTGTGAGCACGGTGGTGAGTCGTGATGTATGGGCGCCTAGTTGTGAGAGTGTTGCTTGTGCCTGGGCGGCACGGTCGGCGGTGGCGGTGGCAGAACTAGCCGCAGCGGCGAGGCGCCCTGCCGCGCCGGAGGTGGATGCGGAGGTGGGTGCCGGCGAACGTGTCCGAGACACACCGGATGCGGCGCCGGCTCCGGTGCCGCCATTGCCTCCGAGTGTTGCGTTCCAGTAGGCAGCTGGGTCGAAGCCGGGCTGGAGAAAGTCTTGTAGGAAAGGATCTGCCACATGCGCGGACTTTGGATGGACAGGAACTGCTGTGCCGACCTTTTGCTGCATGGTCAGCGTTGCCAATGCCGACGTCCGGTTGGCGGAGCTGTTCGTTCGGCGCCGGGACGCAAGCGCTGCGTTGGAGTCCCACGCCATCGTTCGTGGTGTCGCGTCGCAAAGAACGTGGCTGGGGTATGGAAAGGTCGGCGTCGATGGTCTAGGGCGGGGAAGGACTCGCCGTTTGAGTCAATTGCGTACAGACGCAAATTGGGTAGTCACATCAACTGTTCGGAAACTTGGTGGGGTTGATGATTTTGGTGGTGTTTGTGACGAGACGCCGTTTGGATGTGGTGAGTTAGGCATTTAGCGAGGCTGTGGGGAGCTACGCGAAATTAGCGGCGAATGTGGTGTGCCTTGCAAGAGTGGAAGCTCCGCGCGCGTCGGCCCTGTTTAATGTGGCGCGTGCACCATCAATTTCACTGGTTTGAGCCGCACTTTCCTACGTTGGAGGCAACAGTTGCACTTTCCCTTCGAACAGGGATTGGTAAAGACCACAGCTGGTTGAGGCAGCAGATGCAGAAGGAAGTAGGCAAGAACGATCTAGGTTCCCCTACGAATTCCATACCCTCCTCCTCTTTCCGTATCAAGTCGGGTTTTCATTTATCAACGTTATGGCCTTGCCCCTATTCAACCATCAACATCTCCTGCCGTAGTGAAACAGATACGATTCAACAATAAACAGCTGAGCCACGACTGGGCAAGACAATATGTTCGCACGCCGGCCCCGCCAGCAGAGTCTTCCGGTCACGGCCCTCAAACAAACACAGGCACACTGCAGACAAGATCCGGCCTGAGTGAAGAAGTGCTGCAAGTCACGTTCAGACGCCTACTTCGCTAATCGCCACTCGATTACTTCACTTCGGTCTCGCTTAGGCCTGCCCAGCCGGTTGGGTTCTGTTGCTGGAATTTGGAACTTCGTTGAATAGTCGCATTGCTTACTGTGTTTCTTTACATCCTGCCCCGCGGTTCGTCCTTTAAATACTACATCTTCATCATTCTTCGAACACAAGAACCCTTGTTGCCATTTGTGCACTATCAATTTCATCTTCCTCCTTCGTGGACCTTTTCTCAGATCATTCATTTCCAACACACCCCGGAATAAACATTTCACGACATTTGCTAAGCCTCAATATACCCGATCTGGGTTCCGAGACATGCCAAGGAGGGCGCTTGTGGCCGATGTGGAGGTGATCTCGGCCCAGGCCTCATCTGGAGCTCTGCCTTATATCAAACACATCACATTCGACAGTACTGATGATATTGTTACTGTTGATCTGCGCTACCAACAGCTGACTCTACCAGTAGTGGTGACCATCATATGCGGAGGTAAGACCTGCGATTTTTTATGCGGCGCCAGACGATAAGTCTTGCCTGTCTTCTTTTTCTCTCATATTTACTCATATTTGCTGCTCCTTAGACATTGATAGCTACCCTTCTTCAAAGTCCTACTTTCTCTCCTTGGATCACGCGCCAGATGGGTATAACCAGGCTCTGACCAAGGTTCAGAGCGCAAACGAAATCCGAACGCTTTCCGAAGTCATCCAACAAGTACATAAAGCATTTGTCCGTTTGCAGGATAAAGCCAGATCTGGCAAGCTACCTACCGCAGAGGACGTTATTATTATACACGATAGCGATAGCGAAAATGACAGTGGCAGCATTGGCGTACAAGTGCCTAAAACAACCAGCAGCTCTGCATACCTCAACCGACGAAGAAGAAAAAAGTCCCCAGCTACAGATTCTCCGCGATTAGGTGGTGAGCAAGTCAGTTTGGACTGTGACAGCGATGATGAAACCATCCGGTCAGGCCAACTTACAATATCGCCATCAAAGGCTCTGGGACACAGGTGGGCCAATTCAAGCGCTGGCCTCCCACACCAGACATCCTCTGTCAATATTACGACGGCCAAAAAATCTGCTAGTAGTGGACAAAACGGTATAGATGACGTCTTGGGCGAAGCTGGCTACGCTTCTGACGATTCTGGTTTGTACGACTCTTGCGACGTCGGAGACGCGGACGACGCCGAAGATAACAGCTTCATATACTACAGCTCTGTGGGCCAACCGCATCCCAGAACAGAGCGCATCAGTGTCGATCTTACAGCTGTCCGTCAAAATGGGTATTATTTTGGCGTCCTGTCCGGCATGGACGAAGCATCGACAGAGAACCTCCTTGCTATCTCCGTCCGGACTTCGGATCTAGGGCTCTCGCCACAGATGCTACTGGCTTGGGATCTTGACCCTGACATGTTCATTGTGATGCTCATCCGGCTCACCTCTCGCTATATGGGGTACGAGTCCCTCATTAATTCGTCTCAGTCGGACGTCGGCCTCTCTTTTCGCATTGGAAAGTGTGCGGCCTACAAACCGTTTCTGAGTGATGCCAATGAAGCCTTTGGGATTAGCAACAACAGCCAGGATAATCTTCTGCCAGACAAGACAGGCGCCACCTTCTCCAAGATTCTGATATCCAAGAGCTTAGCCTCTTTCATGAATGGTCACTTTTTAAACCTAGCACGGTACCACGAGGATACCGCTTGCTCGTGGGCCGATGCTGTGGATGCTGTGGTGAACGGCAGGAGCCCAAATCGAAATAAGGGAGACGCCTGCCTCCCTGCCTCCGGAAACGACAATGCCTCGGATAATCGACAGAAAAGCTTCCCGTTGCTTGCTATGCAGTTTGCGATGGACCAACTCACAAATTGCACAGCATACTGCCAGGTATGCCACAACCTCGTTGAAGACAAGCTGCGTTCGCTGAAGCCGACGGTCTGTTCGCGAGACCTTTGTCTCTTTCAGTACATGAGTCTTGGCATGGGACGCTCGGCAGAATACGAGATATTATGCCAGCCAAACGTTGTCGACTTGCTCATCAATTTTTGCTATGCAGCGCTACGGTCGTCTCTGACTGCTGCGATCGATCCTGTCCGCGCGTATCCTACATGCTTGCCTCTAAAAATCGTCGACTGGCACGACCCGCACAGTGGTGTATACAGCAGACACATTGGCAACAGGACATCCTTCATTCTGTCGAAATCTGCAGATAGCAAGTCGTCGATCCAAAAATTCAAACCCGGTCAGTGGGTGGCCGTTGTCTTGGGTAGGCTGGCGGCCAATTTAAGCTACAACATACTTCTCGGCTCGACTCATGAAGCGAATGGGTCAGGCTCGAAGGAAGAGCTTCAACCCTCCCTTCCACATAGTGATTTACGACACGCGATTGTCACAGGCGTGGATGAGGAAAACTCGACGGTCTACGTTCACCACTTCGACGACGAATCCACCACCATACGCAACCGAGGAGCCGAGATATATCGATACACAAAAGACTTTGACGATATTCCCGCGAAAGACAAAGCTGCCCAGCTACTGATTTTGCTTGACACTCTACCGCCGGTTACGTACTTGAAGTCGGAGTTGGAAAAGCCGTCGGTGAACGACTTGAAGTCCGTCGCTGGCGTATCGCCCGCAGCAGCCGTATTGCTCCGGTGGATCATTGCAACGAATCGATCGTGCGTCCTGCAAATCCACGAGCCGAAACTCATGGTCAAGGAAAAGAGAGACGACGGCACGCTCGCTCCACCAGAAAATCTCTTACAGTTTTGTTTCTTGCAGGGGCTGCCCGAAGCCGACCACGAGTTTCAGCAACAGGTGGCCCAAGCCGACAACCCGAACCATCCTACGTTGCTAGCATGGCACGGAAGTCGTATTAGCAACTGGCACAGTATCCTTCGAACTGGACTGGACTTCTCTATCACCATGAATGGTCGTGCATATGGTAATGGCGTTTACTTCAGTCCTGATTTCACAGTCAGTCTCCAATATGCGGGAAAATTGAAAAAAGAGCCTCAGTGGCCCAATGCATTTCTCGACCTGTGCTCTGTTGTCAGCCTCAACGAGATCATCAATGCACCCTCAAAATTCATAAGCAACACACCACACTATGTAGTTCAATACGCCAACTGGAGTCGATGTCGCTTTCTGTTTGCGAAACCCGAATCGACAGCGGCTCCGCTCTCGCAGCCAGCCCCAGTTGCGGGCCCAGCACCGCAGGCAGTCTCGACGCTGTCCAGCACGTTCAGCGCCGCGCCATACCGCCGTCCTCGATACAAAACGATGGCCGTACCCTCGGCTGCTCAAACGCCGTTGCCGGCCGACACACCCAGACTACCAGCAGGACAAACATTAGCGCCTACGCAGCCCCAAAGCTCTATACATCGTTGGCAATCCTCACAGACCTCACCGAATGCTCAAAATGAGTTTTTTCAGGACGATCCCGAGAGATTGCTGTATGGTCCCCTGCGTGGCGTTATCGTTGTACCCAACGCGTCGATGCCAGCTCCATCGAATACTTGGGAAGTTACCAACCGCCATACGAAGCGACCGAGGACCAAATCGCCTGAGGAAATAACCATGGACGCCAGCGATTTAGCATTTCTCGCTAACGACAGGGGAGTGAGAAGGTCGCAGAATAAGAAGCAAGTGGCCGCTTTCACGGTCAGGACTGAATCTTCTCCGACCAGCAAGATACCAAATGGGGCTGTTGTCATCGATTTACTTTCGGACTCGGAGGCGGACGAATCTGTGCTGAGGCCCAGCTTAAAATTAGCACCTGTTGTAACTACAACCGTTTCTACCGCGAAGGCCATGCCACCAATGCCCCTCCATGTGACGTCGTTCAAACCCGGCTCGCTGGACTACACATCGCTTCCGCAACTGCCACTTCCGCCGTGGTGCACTCCGCAAGCGCAACGGGCACTAGGACGTGAAATGGACAGGATGCAAAAGGTACAGAGAGACACGCCGTTGAGCGAGCTGGGCTGGTACATTGATTTCACTCGAATGGACAACATGTGCCAGTGGATTGTGGAACTGCACAGCTTCGATCGGACGCTGCCTCTAGCTGCCGACATGGAACGCCTGGGCGTGCAATCGATTGTATGCGAGCTGCGGTTTGGCGCAGACTACCCCATGTCGCCGCCTTTGGTGCGAGTCATCCGGCCGCGATTCGTCCCGTTCTTACAAGGCGGTGGTGGCAATGTGACGAGCGGCGGTGCCATGTGCCTGGAACTGCTCACGAGCACCGGATGGTTGCCGGCTTACCAGACTGACGCTGTGCTCTTGCAGGTGCGGCTGGCCATAAGTGCAACGGACCGACCAGCGCGGCTGGATGCCCGGAACGTTCACAAAGATTACGGCGTGGCCGAGGCGTTTGACGCGTACAAACGAGCTGCCGTAATGCATGGTTGGAAGGTGCCAGAGGATATGCAGAAACGAATGACGTTTTGATGTGAGTATGATGGATTGAGCTGTTTGTATCTCGAGGTTGGTCGTTAGATTCCTGTTTAGTCTTTGTTTTCCTACCACCAGTATTTACTATTCTATAGGAATGAATGACTGGGTGCGGCTGTTCGAATGCATAAGTATACAACGATGTATATTTCGAATACCCGATATCAAAAACGTGTTCAAAATTTATCAACCATCGACTCTTTAGTGCTGCGAGATCTTGCCTTTTGCTGCTAAATATATTAGTAAAACGTGCACATATTTTTGGTAAATAAAGAGCCCCAAGCGGTCAAAATCCTGGAACACTATCAATTCAACTATGTAATTGTTCCGCCGACTGTTTCAATGCTGTTGCTTTCCGAACCAACAATCAGAGGATACTCCATTGATACGACATGCAAATCGGATGCTGCACTCGGTCTTTCCAGCTGCTGAAAACGTCGTTCCGACAATGACAGCGTACATCTAGACGGGATAGGTGGAGCAAAAGGAGCAAATATTCAAGATCTTGCTCGGGTGCAGCATTGTATTCTCTGTGAGGCACACACATCTGTCTACAAAGCAGACTCTCAGCCCTCTAGGATTTCTCTCTCTCTTTTATAGGCTTTGAAGGTGCTATGAAACCTGGTACAGAGGAAAGGAGAGTACGGCGATGGTCAAAGAAGCCCCGTATAACGGAAGATAAACGAAAACGAGACATCGGTAGCACATGGGTACCGACAAAACTGTCTCTGGTCAACGGCGAAGCTCTCCTTCACCTCTCCAAAGCCAACACGGTGAGGTTGGACGAAAACAACAGCAGCACGGTCGTTTGTGGTCCTTGCGCTAGAGCTGTCATCATGCCGAGCCTGGCACAGGTGTTCGAAGCAGATTCTGTGTCAATAAAAAGTCTTACAAAACATCTTCACCACCTATCGAGCCAATGCGATACATGCTGGACACGCTGGAGAGACATAAAAGACGGCCGAGACAGGCCCAGTATGCAGTGCAAGACGGCTGGCATTTTGTGGCCCTGTACTCTGTTCTTTTTGTTCAAAGATGTGAGTGCAAAGAACACGAACGCAGGCCATTAAGGACGCAGGCCATTAAGGAGAAGCAATCAGGGACATCTGAAGGCGTTAAAGTGCCGTTTGTGCTCCGTATTCTGTATTACTCCAGACGCCAATAAAGCATTCATCTGCCTGTCCGTGCTATCTTCTTCTTTTTCTTTTTTTTCTTCCTATTACATTATTTTGCACCGTGCCTCGTGGGAGAAGAAGCAGAATTACGGCGAATTTACAAGCCAGAGCACGTGTGATGTGCTTAGTTTTTTTTTTTTTTTTTTTTTTTTTTTTTTTTTACTAGCTGACATGCTTCCCTTCGGTTCATTTTCTGGGCCGAAAGAGCGCTGCTCAACATGATATCACACTGCGTGAGGACGACCTTGAACGACATCGGAACAGGTTAGTCAGATGCTTTTTGTTTCTATTAATACGACATGTAGAAGCACAAGCTGTCAGTAGCACACCACTCTGCATCCCGCCTCATGCCGAAAATCCTATTGCTCACGATACTGTTTGCTTTGGGAGTGAACCCCCTCATGTGCATATCTCGTGGCCAAGCGATGTGAGGAGTCTTTCCCTCTTTTAGTGCGATGTATTGTCCTTTTGATTTTGTTACTCGTCCTCTTCACCAATCCTGTAAGAAATACGGAGTACGGGGTACGTCTTAAGGTGTGGCCACTGTGAACGGATGTTTTCACGTTGGAGCTGAGAATTGAGCTGAATGGGAGATGAAGACGATTTTTTTCCTAAAAAGTTGTGCACTTCTAAACAAGATGGCTGGGAATCAAAATCAGCCTTTTCTTCTTTTGGCATTCACCTCTGCTTTCTAGCTTCTGTGCATCTCCAAAGTGTGACAAGGCTTGTTGATCTCGTCCTCGTTTTGGCCCAGACACCCACGCCCGATGAGTGATGATGCCTCGTCCTCGCTCCGGGGTATTGCCTTTTCTAGGCAAGTGAGAAGCTAGCCGATGGCTTCGGTCGAAAACGAGGTCAGTTCGCCAGACCGGGGCATGTACGGGACATGAACTGTATTTTCGACGTAGGATTTAGTCTCTTTCCCTTCAAGGGTCAGAAGGTCGGGGTTGCGAGGGTTGGTTCACGATGCTACATAAGGTGAGCACCCCGACGGCCCTGATCGCCACACATAGTTGTGGCGAAAGAGGAGTCTTTGTTATTCAGTTTTCCTTGCAAGAGAACGGGGAGTTTTGAGACGCTTTCCTAGGACATCCTGGAGACTTCACAAACCAGGAGGACATGCGGGCAACCAAGCTGGTCATAGCTCCACTGCGCAAACCGATGCTTTCCTCCCTTTCTTTCCTTGTCTACGGAGTACTTCTTTGCTTTTATTACTTTCTTATACTCGTTTCTTTTTTTTTTTTTCACCTTTCTCACCTTTATTTGGTTAGCCCTGTTTGTTTCTCCACTCCCTCTCGTCGATTTATGCTCGCTTTGCATGCATTGAGCACAGGCCAAAGTGATTGTGATTCCAGGGTGGGATTTGTACAATGTGATGGCATGGTTGATGTTTAAGCGGGGCCAAGGACAGCCCCCAGCCTGTCGTTTTCAATCACTTAAACCGCACCGGCCAGATTTGAAAAAGCTGGCCGCACTATTGATGGCCCACTCTCAACCTGCTTCCCTTCATTTGTCTGGGATGAGAAGAGTGTATTTCGTATAGAAGTAGGTTTTGGGCCACCAAGTCCACTTTGTCTCGCAGGATTGTGACGAAAAAAAAAATCAGTTTGAGAGAGAAAGAGGAGATATAGACTGACCGCATGAATGGCAATGCCATCAAGGAGAGGGGGGAAATTGGATTTGACGGTAGCAAATCACATCAAGCGGGGCGAACGTCAAAGTTGACAGGTGACAAGAAACGACACGGGGTTTGCAATATGTCAAGTACGCGGAGACTTTCAAATGTCGGTATCACAATCGCAGAGTAAAAGAAAAGCTGGTGGTGTCGCCATCTACGAAATACATTTACTCCAATCTGTCCCTGCCTTTTGGCCTTTTTCATCCAATTGGCAGCTATCCGTCCCTGTCTATAGTCAAGCATGGTCAAGATAGGTTCATCGTATCCGTGCAAATCGGGTTCATGCCCAGACCTTTTCTTTGTCGAGCTTATGAGGAAAGAGGGTGGGTTAATATTTACGGTTACATCTGCAAGAGAGAAGAGTAGGCATAAAATAAAATAAAAAGAAGAAGAAAAGGGAGGGAGGGGACGGATGTTCTCCGCGGGGTGCAGCTCTATCAATCTGTCACAGGTAAAGCTAGCTGAAGCGTGCAGTTGTCCTTCTTTTTTCTTTTTACTCTAGGGATTGACAATATTGGCTGGTCCTTTTCTCTGCCATGGATACATAGTTGACAAGGGTTGCGGGTTGAGAGGGCGGACGGCACACCGCACTGACCAGGTTTTCCGTGCAGGGATCTCTTGATGCGCGGGCCGTGTGGATCAAGTTTACGGAGTAGCTCTTTTTGCTCTTGTGCCCTGCCAGTGAGTGGTAATTTCTCAGCTCACGGATGGAAATGTAGGAAACGAGAAGATAGCGCAGCGAAAAGAAAAGTAGGCAGGATGTCGTGTCCAAGAAGATTTGCATGATTCTGCCGTATGTCTGTGAAAAGTTTCTTTTGTCAAACCAAGGCAATGTGATAGTATCGTTGAAAGCTCCGGGGCAGGGAATATGCAAAAGGTTGTCTAATAAAACGCGGCGTGGCAGCCTTGCCTTGATTACTGCTCTCGTATGCAGATTACGACATACTTTTATTTGCTATAGCTCACATTTAAGATTGCGCGACAAAAAGCGCGAGACCGTGAAAAAAGAAAGCCGGCACAGGTGAAAGCGGTTAAGTCTTAGTCGTAGAGGGCGCGGTACATGTTTTGAAGAACCAACAATGCAGTAACAACAGGGGAGGAAATTAGGAAAGGCTGCTTCTCTGCAAGGCTGTTTTGGCTACGAAAGGCTCGTAGTTGCTGGCAAGGCATATGGAAATGCAAGGCTACCGAGCCTGCCGCAGCCTGCCGGTAAATTGCAGATACTGTTTTGTCAATGTGACGCAAAGACGGGGTAATAGCATTAGCATTGCAAGTTGATATCACCAACAGCGAGGGGAACAAAGAGTAGATGACAGGATGCGTCGAATACTACAATAGACGGTTCGGTGAGGTGACTAGAGAAAAGAGTATTGCCATCGCTTGACGGTACAACAGGTCACTGTACCGAATGTACTTTTACGCGTATGTTTATTGTGCTCCCTGTTCTGTTTCCCAGTGTCCTTAGTCTCGACGACCGAAAATCTAGCCCTTTTATTTAGCAGATGCGGGTATCCCGTCTCGGATAATTACACTGTCTGCATGTTTGCGGAGAGAGGAGAAGATTACGAGCGACATAACGGGATGCGAGAGCAAACCTTGCCGGCCCCGACATGCAATTGCTTCCCGTGACCCATCCATAATAGAGCTGCGTCGACAGTCATATTCTTCTTGTTTATATCTCACTTGACCGATAAACAAGGCCCACGCGGAAGAGGGCAAATATCGGAAGGACATACGATAAATGTAATGATAAGTGCCTGTGTGTCAACAATTTTGGATATCGTAGAATTGCAAGGGAAAAAAGTGAAGTCATTTCGACTGGGCCTTAAGACATCTCGAGTCGATTTTGTATCTACGACAAAGACTCCATGTTGGACGCATCCGTACCACCGTGCACTATTCGGGACTCTCAAACGCCGATGACCTTGACGAGATTTTTTCTTTCACTTCAATTTTTTCAACATCGAATGCTGAACTTACACTTAACAATCTATGGAAACAAGATAAAAGTCACACAGCGGGATCGGATGAGGGACAGACAAAGTATGGCGTACATATATGCATGTGCAATAAATGAAATCCAGCACACGACGTGGTCGAATGTGCTCCCACTGAATTAGAGACGATGTTTTGCAAGACAACTGCAAGTTAGAAAAATTGCAGAGTCATAGCAAACACGAAGCGAACTTTGATAAGGCCAGCTATATTCTGTTGAGCAACAGGGGCCACGCAGAACGGTGGGAGAAAAGTAAAAAGAAAGGAAAGACAATATGACGTACGCTTAACATGGACACGATGCAAAATACTCGCTGTGCCGCAATTAGATATACATACGATAAACCCAGGAAAAATACACAGGGAAAGACAAGACATCAAATAGGACTGAAGATGAGATCAAAGACAGACGTTGAAGTAGAAGTCGCATACGAGTTGAACCGGAACAAGAAAACAGGAGAACGAGTGTTAGATTGATTATACCCCATCCTTACGTCGTATTTCAGCTCAGACGATTTTCATAAATTGATTTCCCATTACGACTTTACACATATTTATCACTGGTATCCCATTTATTTCTCATGGAATACAATTCGGTCGTAAAGTGGCTACAGTCTCGGCCTGTGGTATGGCCTTTGTTGGCTCGGATCAGGCCAATTCCCATGCCAGGTACGGCATGCAAGGCCTACAACTGTTCTCTTTCGCTGTCTGTTCATTCCAAACTTGAATGTGCAGTCTTTGGTCAGCTGCTCTACTTACACACGCCCCTCCATGTATCGCACATTGATAGGGAGTGTGTACGACATGCAGACGCAGTAGGCGCGGAAGCACTGCATGGCGCCAGAGGGACGACATAGGGGATAACATATACTGACCACATGTACAAGACGTGGCGCACAAGGCACGAGGCACGACGCACGACGCACGAGGCCACGTCAAAGTAGCGAAAATTAAAAAAAAAAAAAAACGGAAAAAACTGACGTGGGTTTACTCCTGGGCGATGAGGGCCACAGCAAACCGTATTCCGCTAGTAACCGTCCGTACGTCACCTGTACTCGCCGTTTTCGTCCTTTCCTCTCGCACGGCATGCGTAGTGGGCTTCACGGTGCATAATGGCTCGCATTGGCAAGAAACTATTGTGAGACTTGGCTGTCTTCACCAGCGACGCCTTCTTTGGTTGTCAACAACGCCTCCCTCAGAACCGCTCATTCTGCAATGCAGTATCAGACCGCTGTTCCTTAATCGATATCCGCCTGCGAAATGTTCAACAGAGCGGACCGTTACGATAAAAATGTCCGTGGCCTGATGAGGGCTGTTTGGTGGCGGTTGGGGGTTTAAAGAAGACCCGCTTTTGTTGTTCAAGGGCCGTTTTTATCTGATTTAATTTGCTATTTGTTTTTAATCACTTGCCTTTGTTGGACGGCAGCGTCCGGACGGGGCGATCGCCCACAAGCTCCACCCCTGACGAGAGCTTCGACAGGTTTCGCCAGGTTGGACAAGGAAAGTGCGTGCCACCCCCATCCTGCAGCATCTTGCCCTCACATCGAATGCCGGCAAGAGTCGCTCTTTCTCTTTCCTTTGCGAGTCACCAACGACACTAGTTCTTTTCGCCAAATGAGAGGCAACACCGGCCCAAGTCACATGTTCAATCACACGACGATCTGATTCGACCACGCGCTTTCCGCAATTCCCTCGCTGCTCAGACTAAAATACATCACATTTCATGCTTGTCCTCACAACTCGTTTTGACTCGTCTAGTCACGACACCCGTTTAACGGACGCGCTCCCCACACGGCAGAGAGACAGGTCCCCGCCACTCAACGACCCTGGCCGTCTTCAAGGTGGCCCCCCCCTTGTTGGATGATGGCGGCTAGAGGCGCCATGTGATTCGCTCGTGGCCGGCGCCGATTTCCAGACACCCTTGCTGGCGGCAGCCAATCTCTAGCTCCAGAGACCCTGTCGCGCCAGCACAACGCAGATCCAGTCGGCGCTAACACTCGTCGAGACTGTTGGGTTGTGCTTGCATGAAAAGAGATGGAGTACTCACAAACAACAACGTACTCTTAAGAGCCTAATCGAATAGCAAAACGGAACACCATTTCTACTCTCTGAGACTTGCCCACGACTACAGCACCTTGGAACAGAATTCCCATTATAATGCTAGTTTTAAGGGAATCTTGTTGGATACGGCGGGAGGAAGAGAGGGCACGAATGGAGCGATGGGGTGCAAATAATGCAGCGGATGGGGGGCCGTGCATGCAGCACTCACACTCTTGTTCGAACGCGACATCCGAGACTGTATTGCAGAGCTCGGAGTACTACAGAATACGCTGCACTTGCAGTCCATCAGCGCACATTTCTTCCGACGCGTACGTGCAGTTTCGACCAGTAACGAAGAACGAGCAGCAGTCGTTTGCTCCCTTCCCTGTCCCTTTCTCCTCTGTTCCTCTCAGCACTTCCAATCACCGCAGACAAGGTTATCAAGCCAGGGCCAGAACCAATGAAGTCGGTATCATGTGCCTCCCCCAACTTCATGGCCCAATAGGACGAAACCGAAATGAGAGAGCGAAACGAGATCCGAGAATTCCACCATATCTGCTTTCAATACTTTGCCATCTTTGGACGACAAGCCACCTCTTCTCTTTTTTGATTATTTTTGAATCATATTATTTTTCCCTCATTCGTCCTAAAGGCTCCCCCCCTGCACCTTCTCTCTGTTCGTCACCCGCCAGTCATATCTCCGCTTTTTGGTGTCTTTCGGTTTATGCCCTGTAAGATACATCGCTTCTCTCCTCTGCCCGTTTTGCCCTTGCTTCCCTGCCTATCTCTCACCGTGCGCTGTATTTCATGTATTTCACATCAAGCGCTCGGTCTGTAGCGGGTGTTGTATGAAGAAGAAACCACGAATAAAAATAGTAAAATAAAGAAACGCAGAGTTGCAGACTTGCAGACTTGCAGACTTGCTGCTGTGCGCCTTCCTTGCTTATTTTCTCATTCTACGGCCGGTTGTCCCTTTCCCTATTTGCAATATTGTCGTTGCCAAATCGTCTATGGTACCTTCGGGACATGGTAATTACACAGCACTCTATCAGCCTTTTGGCACTTATTCTTTCCCTATTTCTGTGGCTTTTAGCACCTCCTCCCCCAGGCAGTGTCGTCAATGCTTGGTGATCCTCGCCCAGGAATTACAGGGTCTGGAACTGCTTCTTTGCACCGTATGCTTTCTTTTTTGGCCGTTCACCACTGTCTCCAATGCCCTCTCCAATAAGAAGGCATCTTCCTCGTTGTCTTCAGCAAGGTGTCATCGACCCTGGCTTGCTGTTCGATCCCCGCCGCCGCACCGTTGCCTGCAGGCGGTTGTTTTTGGCTCATGCATTTCGTCTTAGCCGCTCTCTTTCTAAATTTGACTCGCTCTGGCCCCGATATGCAAACCGACGCACATGCACTCACACGCCTTACTCCCGCCTCGAGAAAAAAGGAAAGCACGACTTTCCGTGCCTTCCTCACCTTGCCCTCGTAACTCTTTTGCTCTTTCCCTCTCGACCTACCTCCTAAGTTCTCCCCTGATCTCCTCCCCTCTCTCCATTCTGTCTTCTCTCCGTCTTCTCTCCTCTCTTTTCCGACTCCTCATCACCTCCTCTCACATTTGCATCGCCCTCCTCTACCGGCACTGCATATTCGATCCGGCTGCAGACAAGCGCCGAGCACACCCACTTGGTCGCCGTTCGCATCAAGAGCGGCCATCCAGATTCGCAGTACACAGCCTTCCGTTGCCGCTTTGTATCTTGAGGCGGGTAGTTTGGTTTTGGCTTTGTATCTATTCCTGTCACTGAGGAACTGGATCGCCCGTTTGCCGCTGTCGCCCTCCCTCGTCTATCCTCGTCACCCCCGTCCGCTCGTTGTTCGCTCACACAACGTCATATTAGACGAGTCCTGCAAATATACCCACACGCACAACACACCACGCCCGCGTCTGAACCTGCATCCTTGTACCGTTTTGCTTTGTCCATGCCCAACGGTCGTTGCTGGTCTTCTGTTGTACCTTTACCTGTGGCCATCTTTCGCCCTTCCGTCTCTGCACAGACTCTCTCCTCTCTCTCTCTCTCCGTGTTCGCACACATCTCCTCTGCTTTCCTCCCCTCTATTTCTTCGTCTCCTCACGCGTGTTCTCCCGACTTCCACCCCGTTTGTCCTTATTTCCCCCTTTCTTCTATTTCGAGACCCCTTTTTCTTTTCGTCTAAACCTCCTCATCTTTGGCGTTGCGCGCGCCAATTCGAGTTCGGCGCATCTTCTCTCCTTGTCTCCTAAACAAAACACATCGTTTGTCGCTTCCCTTAACGCAACACGTCCTCGCCGCACCTCATTGTCACCTCGTCTCTTTGATTTTGGGGATTTTTGTTCTCTTTCATACTTCTTTCTTGGTCGACATCTCTCCTTTTGATAACGGATCAGCACTTCTTCTCAGAACCTCGACGACAATAAGACAATAAGACTTTACAAAACGCTTGAAACAATCGGCCACGAACACTGCCTTGTTTTAAACCTCGGCCTATTGTCCATCGCATACGACGACCTGGCCGCAGAAAAGGCTTTCCTCGAGAGACCGGGCAGACTGGGCCTCGAAACAAAGGTGCACGAATAAGGAAACACAGGAAACGTTTTGCTACGGGGACGACGCAGTTGTGTATACGGCCTCCCGACCGAGACACCGTCTTCCACTCTGGTGGCTGCGAGCGCCACCTAAAGAAAGCCAGCGTTTTCAATACCCGCAAGGAAAACGACGAGAGACATCGCAACACTCGGACTGCAGCGAGACCTAAATCCACACCGGGTTCGTTCTTTTGTTTCCGTCCTGGCATCCCATCTGTATCTGCCGCGCATACAGGCGTCTTTTCCTCCTTGTAACGAGACCGCGTCCACCACCAGCCAACCCGTTCCATGTGACGACTAGGGCAACCGGGCCCGACATCGTGTAGCCTCGCCGCTCGTCCTCTTCTGGACGGTTGCGCGTGGATTCCTTGTCATTTTCCTTTCAGTCGTGTATTCTTTCCTCCTCTTCCCGCGTGCCTACACCTACGCACAAGCGCTATATTCTCCGCTTAGGTACGTTCATATTGCACGTTTTTGCTTTGTGCGTCGCCAGTTTTATTTCTCCTCAATGTTGTGGTGCACTGTGCGACCTTGCCGTCCCTTGTTATTTTTTATCTCTCACGCTTCCACTTCCGCTTCCACTTTCGCTGCACGTACAACCCGGGCTCGTCGCACATTGTATCCCCTCCGATCGCGCTTCTTGTGCTCCGGTAGAGTTTCGGGTCAACCACGCAAACCCTGCCCGCCTGTTTTATTGTGTCCCCGGTCGCCCTTCTCCAGTCGACCTCTCTTTACCGTTTCAACCTCCTCATCTCCGCCACTTGGCGTATTTGTGCTGAGATTCTTTTTCGCCCTTGCATTTCGTTTTGCTTCGCTCTTTACTCCTTGCCGTCTCGCCACCCGTACTCGAGACACGGCTAACCATGATGTGCAACAGCGGACCTTTAGTTCCCATCTACATATAACGGCTCATACGTGTTCCATTTGCCATGTCGATGCCGTCACAAAAGCCGAGGCAGCGGTCTGTCACCGAGACCTCCTTAACGTCTCGGGAGCGAATTACCGCGGCCCAAGACTACACCATGCCTCCCACAACCATCAGCGCAATGATGCGACACTTTGACCCGTGCGTCGCCACGGCCGATATGTTCCTTTATGCCCAGGGCAACTCTATTGTTTGCTGCCACCACGATACCCTCACAATCGAGCGCCGGTTTTCACGACACCCCGACGAGGTTCTGTTATTGGCGGTCGACAACCAGAGCGAGCGGGGCGCCGGCCGGCTTGTGGTCAGCTACGATGCCAGCCAGAATGCCATTGTTTGGGATATTATGTCTGGCAACGAGGTTGCTCGGTTTGCGTCGTTTAGCAACCTGACAGCCGTGGCATGGATGCGGAACGGCGCCGTTGCCTTTGGTAAGACGTTTGCGCCATTGTTTACTTGAAACAAGGAGCTGCGCTAAGCTAACACTTTACAACTACAGGAAACGACTCGGGCACCATCATTCTCTTCGAACCCGAGACCTCTGAGCACGTATCCTTCCGCACAATAGACCAAATTGCCGTTACGGCACTGGCGCCGGCCACTGATTGTCGTACATTCGCCATTGGCTACCAAAACGGCTCCATTTTGATTTGCAACCTCCAGCCAAGGTTCACCATCCTCCACAACCTGACCACGTCGCGAGGTCCATCGCCAATTGTTGGCCTGTCCTGGCATGCATCTTCAACAAGACAGCGGTCGGACATGCTGGCCGTGCAGACCTACGATGGCGACTTACGAGTGTGGAGTGTCTCAAAGTCACACAACGGTGTTGAGCCCGCTAAAGTTGTACGCATCCTGAAGCGAACTGACAACTACATGCCAGGACCGAACTGGATGAACTGGTCTAAGAACGGTCGCATCATCCAATTCTCCGAGGGGTCCGTATACATATCCTCCCATATCTGTGAAGCGTAATTGAACAAGTTATGTACTGACCTATTCAGCGAGACACTCTCTTGGGACGTGCGCACAAAGCATGTCACATACGACAGCATCCCGACGTTGGAGAATGTTCGTGGCCTTGCCGTTTACGGACCAGGTGCAAGTCTCTTTACCCTGGGTGCCAATAACACTGTACAGCAGTTCGACTTGAATGCGCCGTCTGTGCTGGTGGCCGACGTTCAGCACCCGGCCAACTTGCTGCCGCCCTCTCCGCCAGTATCTGTGGAGGAGCAGGAGAAGGAGGCTGCCGCGGCGGCAGCCGCTGCCGCCGCCGCCGCTTCCAGTGCGATCGAAACGGATAGCTCTGCGGCTGCGACATCCGAATCGGAAATCTCCATTCACTTGGACGGTGGCGTGTCCGAGAGTGACGATGATTACCAGTCACCGCTTGCACGCTTGGTTAACGCAGGACATATCGTTGACGACACGGAGTCGGACATCGCTCGCACTGCTACCGCCAGCTCGGCTGCCAGCCACATCTCGGAAGACAAGTCAGAAACGAGCAGCAAAACGCCTGGCCGCTACGCAGGCTCGATTCGGTCCAAAGGCATGACGGAGTACACATACATGTCCATTGGCTCGTCTCTCAAGTCATCAATTCACCCCAACAACATGTACCAGCAGCCACACCAGCAGCAGCCACAGCAAAAGTCCCACCACAGAGCGCACAATCCCCATCGTCAGTCGGTATCAACGTACAGTACCGCCACAAGCACCACCTTCTCAACGACCAGCAGCCGCACGGGAATGTCGCGCCCATCCCGGCTGCGAAATGAGGTGCCGCAGAGCCCAGACGGCGCCAAGGTGATAGACCTGTTCAAGTTCACCCGCAGTCGCCTGAGTGACGTGCCGTACCGGATGCCACCTGCACCGGCCAGCGGCGTACGCCTGACTAATGACGACCTGCGCCGCCAAATGCTCTACACCATCTTTGGCTGGACAGAGGACATTGGCGATCTCGTGCGCGACGAGATGGATCGTTATCCCACTGGTTCAGCCAACCGCATCCTGCTTGCCAAGTGGCTCGGCGACATTGACCCGGACATCATGAAAACCAGCTCAGAGACTATGACCTCGTCGGACTGGATGCTGCTCGCTCTGAGCGGTATCGGCAGCCAGGCAAGCCAACACAAGCTGGGCCGTGCCTACACGCAACGGTTGCTAGAGAGCGGCGATGTGCATGCGGCTGCCACCATTATGATTGGTATGGGCGACTGCAACGACGCCATTGAGATTTATGCCTCGCACCACAAGTACATGGAGGCGCTGATCGTGGCTGCCCTTTTCTTCCCATCCGTGTGGGAGAGACAGTCGCATCTGATCAAGAAATGGGGCGAGTGGGCCATTAAGAATGGCCGCCGTGAGCTTGCCATTCGATGGTATGTAATATGTTCCTCCTCCCAGTGTGAATTTCGATCTCATACTTACTAAATGTTTAGCGCCGCTTGTACTGGAAAGGAGTCGTCGGAACCGTGGACGTCGCCATCTGCAGCGCAGATCAACTTCCCGTCCATCAACGCGGCGTTGCCGGAGCTGAATAGCCCGCCACTGTCACCACCGAGCCTAATGCAGCGCGGTCCTCAGCGCAGCATTGCCAAGTCATCTGCTCTGCGGCTAATCACCAACTTTGGCGATGCCAGCAACCAGACGCGCGCACAGATCTTTTCCAACGAAGGTGACGGTGCTACCCCGATTGCTGCGGGCGTGACACCCATTGCTGTCTCGGCCATCTCGCCGGGTCTTAACGATACCACAACCGCCTTCTTACGACCCTCACAACGTAGTGTCTTCAACACACCCAGTTCAGCCCGGCCTACTACAGGTGGATTCGGCCGGCAGCGACTGCCGTCCATCGGTGAAGGTCCTCAGGGAGCTCAAGATGCCAACCACCCTCGCAATGTCCTTAAGGGTGTCTCAGACGCTCTGGGTCTGGCAGCACAGCCTTCAGAGAGCATTGACGCTGCTGCGCACCCGGCTGTCCCTCAAATGATGCAGGTTGACAATGGCAACAACCTGGCAATCGGCATGGCTCTTCCGAGAGCGTCAACATCCAGTCCTCTATACCGCCGCAAGGAACAGCCCCCTCCGTCGCCGTCGCCCGCATCGCTAGCTGCGCTGATGGACGGCCGTCACAGCCGCAACGGACCGCGCGACCGCATCCCTGCCGGAATTGATCTGCAGTTGGCACCGGTGGCGCCAGAGGCCATTTTGGACATGACATCACCCGAGCAGACGGGAGCCTCATCCAACCGGTACCGTTGGCCCTCTCGTCGCCGTGGTCCGGCGTCGGTGAGCAGCTCAGTCACGTCCAACTCGAGCATTGCCCACGGTGCGCGCAGTCATCGTTACCGCACAGGCGATGTGCCCAACACGAGCAAGACACTAGACGAGTACATTAGCAGTCTCGAGGTGATCAATGCTAAGGCGGCGCGCGCGAGCAGCAAGGACCGTCATCACAGATCACGCGACGTTGGCCGCCAGCGCCTCCCATCTGTTGCGACGCCCTCTGCTTCGTCCGTCTCCACCGTGACGAGCCACTCGCGCGAGCCGTCTACAAATACAGATGTGCGCGAGTGGGTTCAGACGCGCAGCCGTGCTGGTTCCAAGACCGGCGGCAACCGCTCCCCGCGTTCTCCTGTGCCCATGTCGCCTGAAGATCTCATCAGCCTGACCAGCACACCACGGATGTTTGCCCGCGACGATCCTGCTCTCGATAAAGACACGGGCTCGTTGGCGGCGCAGAAGACGGGTTCGAAGTCGTCGGCTGTGCCACCACCGGTGTCCACGCAGCTGTCTTTGCGCCCATCCTCTAAGTCGCGCCCGTCCAGCCGTACATCCAGCCGTGGCCGTTCCACGCGCAACCGCAGTCCCGACCGGCAGCCACTGACGCTAGACATTCCTCGTGGTCGGAACTCGAGCCGCACGGCGTCTGCAATCCGCTCCCCATCATCTCCACTTCCGTTCTCGAACAACGCGGCCCAGTACCAGGATGAAGACGACGAAGAAGACTACCGAAGAGCCGTCGATGACCAAGAAAAGTTCCGTAACCGTGACCGCACGTCTCACCGCGGCCGCAGCTCCAGCCAAGGCCGCCGGGATGCCTCGCCTAGTTCGGTTCGCGCCCGTGAGCGGTCCCGTAGCCGGCGGCGCCCGACACCCGAAGTGGCCGCAGCCGCTGCACCGTCCGTCTCGTCACGCAAGGACCGTACCCTCACAGGTCCGCCTCCGGCAAAGTCAGCCATGGCTGTGGCTGCTGGCGGCTTCGACCGCTACCCGGCCTCGCAGCAGTCTCTGGGCGAGGAGCTTGGCAGACGTCGGACGCAGTCGGCCACGGCGAACCGTGGTGATCTACGCCAGCTGAGCAAGGATGAGCGTGCGCAACGCAAGGCTGCCGCCGCACGCGAATTGGAAGAACGTCGCAAGTCGCTTGTCCGGCATCCGAACGCTCCCTCGATCTTGCACCCAGACTACCTTTCACCGGGCCTGAATCAGAACTTTGGGCAGATCTCGGAGGTGCCGGAGCTGGACTCAGATGTTTACTCGCGCCCCAAAGACCTCCCTATGCGCAGCCAGTCCACCGAGCCCAACGCTAAGCACTCCTCCTCGTCCACCCGGGTCCGCAGCATGTTTGCGCCCCGTGGTCACCAGTCCATTGGTCTGCCCGCGACGCCCAAAGCCATGCGCCTGGTCCTCGAGCCGGGTGCCGGCGCTGGATCGTCCACGCCGCCGAGCGTGCCACCCATCCCGGCAGTCTACGGCCACCAACGCTCGTCAGGTTCGGTTGGCCACTCATCTCCAGAGACCAAGTCGTCGACGAAGAAGCAGGCTGAGGCTACGCCTGCACCGCTCACACTCAGCGCAACCACCTACAACCTCCGATCGGAAGTTCCACTTGCCCCCAAAACGTCAGTTCCGACCAAATCCTCCGAGGACACGCTTACCCTCTTGCCGTCGACTGTGTATCAGCCGCCGTCGCTCAGCCGCGCAGCCATTCCTCGCTCCATGTCCGCACCACCTCAGGAACTGGTCTTCCAAAAAGGCTCTGCGTCGCAGGATTTTACCGCCTCGCGCAAGGCCAGCCGCGAGAAGAATCCTACGATTCCCGAGTCGAGCAGCGACGATGCTGATTTAGCTGGCACCCTGTCACCCAGTGTCTATCGCCGCCCTTCTCTGGACAACTTGCTTCCTCCCCCTCCCCCACCCCTTCCAGCGCCGCCCATGCTGAAAGAACTTGCCCATCTGGCCGTCCCGCCGCCACCTCCTCCTGCACCTCTCCCGTTTGGCTCGAGCTTGAACCAAGCCCCCGTTGTATACGGAGGCCACACCACGGGCACCATTGAAGTGGTGACGGATGACGGCGATGTGCAGCCGGTTGTCAATGTCTCGCCGAAAATTGGTGGCAGCGCCCCGTCGCATACCAACCACCCGTCGTTGCCGCCTCCGCCGCCTATGCCGCCCGCACCTCCAGCTGCTCCGGAAACCCTGTCGCCTTCGCGCAACGGACACCAGCGCGGCCGCAGCAGCACTGACAACAGCATTGCGGGTCGGATCTCGCGTGCCACCGAACGTATACGGTCTGCAAGCCGTGGAACCAACAATGCGGCCTCTCGTACCAAGTCGCCCGAGATAACCATGGTGCCGTACGAGAGCATTCATATCCCACAGTCGCAGAATACGGGCTATTCTCCGTACGAGAGCGTGCCGCTGCCGAGCAGCTTTGCCGTACGCAATAGCCCACCGCAACAGTACCCGCAAGAGATGCAGCAGCTGACGCAGCAACAGCTTGCCCAGCAACAGCTACAGCTGCAGCAGATTGAGGCCCAAAACCAGATGCGTACCGGTCTCCACCAGAGCGAGATGATTTAGGTGCCCTCATATCTATCTTGTCTATTGCTCTCGTTATTCACAACTATTTAACTTTCAATTCTCTCGTGCATGGCTATATGGCGTTTTTTGTTCTTTTCTTTCTTTCTTCCTTCACTTCTTCTATGGCAAGCAATTACAACCGTGGTCAGCGATGATCACTGGCGGAGCGTCCCTTTTATACACAGTTTTGTTTATTTTTTTATGAAGTCCCCCTTTTCTATCTATCAGTGCCATTTGCGGTTCCAGCATATCGTTTATATAAATTGGTTTTGTCATTTGATTTGACTTCCCGCCTGCTTTGCTGCGCACTGTGGATGCGTCTGCGGTTTTCATAATCGCTGGATGCTATGGAAAGAAAAGGATGCAATCAAAGTGAGCCTGCAGGATGAACACGACTAGGCAAGAGGAAGAAAAAAAAAGAATGGATCCAATCTTTGGTGGTGATATTTTACTTTTGTTTTGATCTCTCTTTCTTCTCTTTTACATGGGGCTGCCTCGCGGCACTTTCAAGTCTTCTTTTATCTGAATCACTCGGGGTTTATTAGGTCAGGTGCTGTTTGTACATTTTTTGACATTTTGATGAAATTTATGTTTTTGGATTTACAGTTGATGTTTAAAAAAAGTGAATAATGTGGGGGAAAAAAAAATCAATTAAAATACGAGCTCGACTCGAATCATCGACGTTACGTTTTTGGCAATTAGAACGCACAGTGTCAGCACAGTGCCGTCTAGAGACAAAATGCAAAAATAGAAGTTGGCTTCTTCATCTCAAATGCTGCCCCAACCCAATACGATCGTAATCCAGTCCGCCACGCGACGGTGAAGATGCCTCTGCAGAGTGAGTCCTCCCTGAAGTATCATCTCCAATTGCTTAGGGCCACAAGGGGGTTCCAGCATCGTAGGTTTCCCATACGAGTGGGTGGCCACCGCGACGTTCGCACTGGGCGACGCACTGGGTCGAGGCGGATAAATCCACCTCGGACATGGAACAGCAGGAAATAAGAATAGCAAGGGCCGCCTTCCACTTCGACCATAACAGCCAGTTAAAATTTAAGTCCGTACAGCAGCTTATATAGCCTAGGGCAACCGCCCATCCCCTCCTTTCTCCAAAAGCGGTCAGAATCGGCAGAAACTCGAAATACACCGTAACTGAGCAGCCAGTATGTTTTTGGTTGGTCGCACCAGTCCGACAGCTTGACAGCGTGACAACCGTGGCGAGCCTCTTGCATCATTGCAAGCACAGATCGTCTTGCAATCGACTCCCGGCCGAGGGACACGAGATCCCATATTTCTAGCCGATCCTTTCGAGGAGAAAATGACGCGGTGACACGGGACGGCATTTCCTTTCTTTTGCGTCTTTTGTGTTCCGCCTCGTGTTTCTCCGTCTCTCCTATTTGTTTTTCCTTTGCGGCCACTTCATCACGACTCCAACTTCGGTCACAGTCACGATCACAAGCCCCCTACGACACATCCCTTCCTTTTCCTTGTCCTCTCTTTCGTATCCTTCATAGGCGCCATCTTCTCACTGGCATGTTTGGCCCACCACACCTCGAGGTCCGCCGACCATCACCGACCACAATCGAGTTCGTTGTCACCACACAGCCACGCCGCACAGGATGGACAGGCTGGGCGCTGGCCGCCGCCGTGGTCGGCATGCGCGTGCTGCTGGCGGCGTCAGCGGGCGTTGCGGTGTGGGCATGGACAAACCAGGACGTGGTGGCCAGCTTGCGGCGCGGCCGCGTTGGCTTGGGGTTGGGCGCAGACATGACCTGGCAAAACCTCGTGTGGCACCTCTTCGTGTCGGCCCACGGCCTCGACGCGCTGCGGGCCATCGCCGCCGCGCCGCCTTGGATGGTGCTGCCGCTGTGTGTGGCTGCGCTCTGGGCCAGCATCGCGCGCGTGCACACGTCTGAATCGCTGCTGGTGCTGCGCGGGCTCGGCATCCAGACGCGGTCCACGGGCGCGACGTACCTGGGCGAGCTGGCGTCGGGGCTTTCGGTGGTGTGGTGGACGCTGACGACACCGTGGACGCTCGTGGCACGCTTCTTCAGCATCTCGACCAACGACCGGGGCGGCGCGGGGGCCACGGTCGCCGACGGCTACTACGGCGAGCCCACGCCGGCAGCAACGCGGTTTATCCCGACTGAAAAGCTGCAGGATCTGCTAGTCAACGAGGCGTTCCGCGGGTTTGAGGTGCGATACTATCTTGTAGCAGTGGTGGCGGGACGGGGCGCAGGCCCGCTTGGCGGTGAGCGGCTAGGCGTGCGTGTCAAGAATGTGCGACTGCTAGAAGAGAGCGAGGAGGAGGAGGACAACGACTACGACGAGAAAAGGGACAATCTGAGGGATGGTAACAGCCACGGAAACAGCCGGTATCACAGCAGACAGACCCGCGATGACGAGGACTACGACTCGGACGATTCGGACAACGACAGTGACGGCCCCGGCGGCGGAAGCAGCAGCGAGGAGGACGAGGATCACATCGTCGTAGTGTTCCCGCGACTGCTACCGGGCCTGGATATTGTGCGGACGGTCTGGCGCGAGGCTCGGGCGTGCCTGTACGAGCCTGACGCGAGAGGGTGACAGTGGTTTTGGAGAGCGATTAGACAGGCAGAGCTTGTAATTTCATATTCAATGATACCACTTTGTTCTTTTGTTTTCTTTCTCAGTTTTCATTTTCGCTGAATCACATAAACTGTCATGATTGCTCGCTCTGGGCAGACACACGCTCCTCTGCTTCGGCTGCCGATGCCGGGGATGTCCCACTTGTTGCCTCGGCCTCCTTCATCTCCCGGATGGCTGTCCGCCAGTTGCCCACGTCGCGCATGGCCGCCGAGCTAGCAAAGCCCTTTGTTCGAGCAAACTTGTCGTTTTGCTCCTCGGGCGAGGCGAGGCGTGACCGCTTCATGAGAGGAACGTACACACCGCCTAGCCGCGGGCCACTGCCACCCTCATAGACGTGGCTCTTTTTGGCCGGCGGCGTGGGCAGCTGCGCCTGGCCGGGCACCGGAGTCTTTGTCACCTGATTCAGCAGCTGGTTCGCCAGGATCTCGTCCATCTTGGCATCGTGCCAGCCGCGCCACAGCCCGTCCAGCATCATGCGGCTGTCAGGCGCCTCCTCGGCCACCGTGAACCAGTCCAGACTGTCGGTCCATTTGCCGGCATCTGGGTGGTCAATGGCGGCCTCGGGAGCGTCTGCAGGGACAGCCGGAGGAAAGATGCAGTCCCACAACACCAAGGGACCCTCTTCGGCCATGGCATAGGCTGGGCGACCGGGGTTGGCGGACGCATCGAGGAGTTGTGGGATGACATCGGCAGACTCGCGGCCCTGGCCGACCAAGAACAGGATGGCGACCATGTGGCGGATCTGGTGCCACAAAAAGGCTGAGCCGCGGACGTCAAAGGAGTACACCTTGATGCTGGATGACCCTCCGTAGTAGTCGAGCGATGCGTGCAGGCCGGGCACTTCGACGATGTCGGCGTCAAAAATGCGGCGTGCAAAGTTGGTGATCTGCTTGTTGGGATCAATCTTGCAGAAGTTGCGGAAGTCGTGCAGGCCGACAAAATGCTTGGCGGCCGTGCGCATGGCGTCGATATCTAGCCAGCCATCAGAGGGGCCGCCCTCGGCGGACGACAAAGGCTGCGAGGAGCCAAAGTAGGCCGGCTGTGTGAAGAAGTAGCGGTACCGCCGCTCACGGCACGAGAAGCGCGCCGAAAAGTCGGGCGGCGGGTTCGGGCACCAGGCCAGTACGCGGATGTCGGGCGGCAATAGCCGGTTGAGCACCTTGCCATACTGAATCTCTTCATGCGGGAGTGGCAGGTTGCTCTCCTCGCCGTCGACGGTAATGGCCTCCGTCTCCGTTGACGTCCCCGCCTCCCCTGATCCTCCTGGTCCTCGTCCTCGCCCCCCTTCTTCATCGTCCACCTGTTCCCCATCTTCGTCGCCCCTGTCCACCACCTTGGCCGTCCGCTTCCGGTTGCTGCGAACGCGCAGGGCCACGACCTGACCGAACGCGCTGACGCCCCGGTCTGTGCGGCCGCATTTGCTGTACTCGCAAATGTTAAAGTCCACCTCATGCGCCGCCGCGCCGGGCTCGGGGAAGATCAGGCACGCCTTGACCAGCGCCTTCCACAGCTCCTCCTCGACACTCGGCAGTGCACCTGACGGCTGGTACTCGAAGCCGCCATACCGTTTACCCAGGTAGGCGATTCGCAGCGCAATATACCGCGTGCCATACCGGCTGGGGTCGATGGCCTTCTTTGGTTTTGGGGTGGTCGAGGGTGCCAGCTGTGATATTGTTGGGCCTCCAGACAGTCCATTCTGCTTGGTCAGCACCGCCTGCTCTTCGAGCTCCTGGATCCGCTGGACCAACGCCTCTTTGGTCCACCGCGTATAGTCGGTCATCCCTTGTGCCTGTTTTCTCTGCTTCCTGAGGAGGGCTTTGCTGGCAAAGGGCCTGGCCCAAGGTTGGCCACGAGCCGCGGTCGGCTGTGAGAGAAGGGGGCTTCCCACGCCTACACCGATCGGCGCCGTTGCCAGGTACAGGGAGAGGCGACGTGGACACAGTCCCTGGTTAGGCTGCCGTGCTGTTGCGGCGAGAATAGAGTTGGTGATACCAAAACGAGGTACACCAGATGTCTTCATGCGATGGAGTAGTCCGCCAGGAGGGGAGAAAACAGGTGCCGGGTATGCGAATCCGATTCGACAGTTCTGTACACATGAAGAGACTAGAGTTTTGAGTAGCGTTTGCGGTGCGTCAAGTTCTGCGGACGTTCTACTCGTAAGTCGATATCATCGGTAAAAAGTCGTCCCAAGTGAAAATTTAAAAGTAGCTTCTGGCAGCTGTACGGTCGCGGCGCTACATCCCGCGCCGCTTCAGCAAAACATACGCTAGCGCCTTACCACCCTCGTGCGCAACCCCCACTAAATCACCCAAGCAGTTATTAATACGTTAGCGGCAGGGTGCTGTGCGACAAAACTAAAACTACGCCCATGTCTTGCCCACATGTCTCAACTTCACCTGTATCGACATGTTGCGTCATTATAGCCGTTACATAATGGCATTAACACACCACATCTTCGAATGATATGGCACAAATGACACGAAATTAAAAAGGACATGGTTTTCACAGTCAAACAAACACGACCCGTTCTCGCAAAACATACTTTCATTGCGCTGACCGTCATGGACGACCTTCAGCCGGTCTCGATTTTGCTGCTCGGCGACGACAACGTCGGCAAATCGACCTTTTTATCGTGAGTGTCTAGCCAGTCGGGGGTGTGGGTGCGAGTGCGGGTGCGTTGTTGTGCTGCGCTAACAGTGCCGACAGGCGTCTCGCGTTGCTTCGGAACAAAGCTGGCCTGGCTACGTCCGCCCAGACAGCCGCACCGCCGCTCCTGCGCGATTCCGACCAGCCGTTTGTCCTCGAGCTCCGCTCGCGCATCGCCGCCTTCCGCCTCGAGTTCTCCGACACCGAAAGCCCCGAGAACTGGCGCTGTCTGCAGCCCGACCTCGTCGTCCTCTGCTTCGACATCAGCCACCGGCCCAGCCTGACCAGCCTGCAGACGCACTGGATCGGCGAGGTCCGCACCGTCTTCCCCCACCGCGACCGTCTGCCCATCCTCGTGCTCGGCCTCAAGCGCGATCTGCGCCGCGAGGACGACCCCAGTGGTACCCTGTACCCGCACGAGGCGTACAATCTGAGCCAGCAGCTGCGCGCCGACATGTATCTCGAGTGTTCGGCCGTTTCGGGCGAGCTGATGCCACAGGTCGTCGACGACATTTGCCGACGGGCTGTCAAGACCGCGTCGCCAGAAGGAGGCCAAAGCGAGGGGGCGTGCACGGTTATGTAGGCAAAGGGTATGTGGCCCTTTCCGTCGGCCCCCCACCGTCTCACTGAGCATCCTCCATCTCTTCGTCCGGCTCGCCCTCGGCCACCGGGAACTGCCCCAGCACCTCAGCCACGATGTCGAGAATCTCCGACTGCTGTTCTTCCGTCAACCGGCCCTCGACCTCCTCGATGCACGCATGAAGCTGTGCCGGCGTCTGCGGCCGCATGTTGAGGACCATCAACAGCTCGCCCTTGGCCAGATCGTACCTGTGCAGTCGCTCCACGACCGTCGTCACGGCCTCGGGGCTGTATGTCACTGGCTGCTGGCTCAGCGGACCCGGCGGCGATCGGAAGTACTGCAACAGCTTGTATGGATTAGCAGGGAATGCGCGTAGGGACAGAGCAGAGGCATGCACCCACCTCATGAATCAATGTCTCGAGATTGCCGGGCCCGCGGCGCCGGTTCTGCTTCTGCTTGCCCAGACGCTCTTGGCGCTCGGCGAGGAACTGGTACACCTCGTAGTTGCTGAGGAGGGCGTTTTGTGCTTCGAGGATCTTCATCGTGCTCGTGGCCTTTTCGAGGTTGTCCGGGTTGGAGGGCTGAGTATATTCTTGTCCGTTCTCTGTCGTTTCTCTGTCGGGTTTCTGTCGTGTCTCTGTTTTCCTCTTTCGCCGCCTGTAACTTGGGTGGGCGCCGAGCCAGCACGAGCGAGCTTTTTTAGTAGCGTTTCGAATGGCACCATTATTCCCACAGGCGCCTTCCGACCCCCATTGAAAATTTCACATGGCAAGAGCCCGTAATTCGTAGTCAAAGACCGGCGACGGCAGCCACTCCTGACCAATCACCGTCAGATAAAGGCCCCGCATTGCCCCGCAGCTTTTTTTTTTTTCTTTTTTTCTGTTATGACGGAAGGCAGGTACAAAACGGCCGAGTAATGTACAGCCGCCAATCGCGGCTCTCACAGAGAGGCTCATGGGGAAGGGACGACAAAGGTATGGCCGTTTGCGTCTATATACTCATTCGCAAGAAACAGTTGTCTGCCGCGTGTCAGAGCGCTTTAGGTTTCCATTTATTGGAGTAACTTCAAGGCATAACGAAAGACTTCCAACGGTCGAAAGAAAGAGCGATGGTACAGATGCTGGCATTCCGTATCGCGGCATGTCTTGTCACCGACTTTGCTCCTCCCTATTTTGGGATGTAGCTCTCCTGCAGGAAGGTTGTTGCCTCTTTTGCGTTGCGTTGCATCGCAGCACATACCTTCTTGGTTTGACGACTCACCCCGTTCTCTTGGCCTCTGCTCACCTCGTTCCCATTGCTCTTTCCCTCAACAATTTCGGCACCCATTCTGCGCCGGTTATATTTTTCTTCTCCCTTTGGAGATTCTCGAAACTCTCTCCTCCTTTTCTTTTCTTACTTGCCATTCCCCAGCTACCTCCTCACCCCCAAGCTTTATCGCAAATCACTGACCGCCACCGTGCTGCTTTTCCGTCTTTTCTTTGCACACGGTAATCACTAGTACTACATCCGCTTGCCTTGACACGAAGCCCTTGGCCTAGAACCTCCCAGTCCTAAGCTGCTGCCAACGAGCAATTTGTACATCCAAATGACCTGCTTCCGAACCATCGCGTCGTCCACGATGTCTCGTCTCTAACACAGCCTAGTTCCTCTTGTACGGTGAGTGGCTAGTCCCGTGGGGCTTCTGCATTTATTTGGTATTTATGGGCCGCATTTTCACCCTCTCGGCTTGTGACGATCTCCAGTTTTGCTGGTGAACCCTTTCCTGGAATATGCCAGTCGAACATCTTCCAAGTTAGCACTGCCAAGGGAAGAACTCGTCAATGATATGCCTTTCCCTATCGCCCTGTTCTTCACTCAAACACCCCAACTTGTCTTCTAGCATTTCCGTGGTCCGACATCCTCGCTAACAAACGCTGTATTTTAGCCTCTTTTCGGTACTGGGCTTACACACTGCTTGCCAGAGTGGGGCTTCCTTACCGTTTTTTATCATTTTTTTCTGGTCCGCTTCTCGTCGCCTCCCACCAGCGCGCCCGCTGAACGAACTGATTTCTTCCACTCCTCATTCGTCATCCGGCTTCTTCCTTAGTCCTCTTTCACGGGTATCCTCGACCACAGTCACCCATCTCTTCTGTCCCGTGTTCCTCTTTCTGCTTCCTTCTCGCTGCCGTATTTGCTCTTCGACTTCATCTCTGCGACACATTGGAGAAACGACAACTTCTCTTTTCACCTCCAGCAGGTATCGCCTTTGTTTTTCAGTGCTCCGCTTCACCCAGAGCAAAGTTCGCATATTCTCGGCTTTGACCGCCTTCTTTACCGGCTACGATTTTTTTTCTGCCCTGTTTGACGATATCGGAGGGTCCCAACTGTCTACGGAGAACAGCCAACCAGAGTATCTGCCTTCCGAATTGATTTTCCAACAGCACGTTTCTTGTCTAAGCTTCGTACACACCTTGCGCTTACGCTCTCTCCTACCCGCGGCGACTTTGATCGTGCGCAGCGCCCAAAGCCGATCCCTTTTCGATTTCCTGCTCTTTTGCTCTGTCGTTGCCCACCCAGGGTCTGTGCACATCACTTTCGTCACTGCCTTCCGACATCCATTCATCAGACGGTTGATTCGCCCATTCTGCGACCCGTCTAATCGGTAGACTTGCAGTCTAGATCCCTCGTCCCGGCTTCATACTCGAAAATCTCCTCCCTAAGCCTCCTATTTCTTGCAAAAATGGTCAAGAACATCGTCATTCTCGGTGGCAACTCCCACCCCCAGCTGGTTGATAATGTGTGCAACATTCTGGGTATCCCAGCCTGCAACCGCATCCTCTCCAAGTTCGAGGTCGGCGAGAGCCGCTGCGAGATCAAGGACTCCGTTCGCGGCAAGGATGTGTACATCATCCAGACCGGCAGCGGCTCGGTCAACGACAACTTTGTCGACCTGTGCATCATGATTTCGGCCTGCAAGACGGGGTCTGCCAGACGGGTCACGGCCGTCATGCCACTCTTCCCCTACTCGCGCCAACCTGACCTTCCATACAACAAGAACGGCGCCCCACTCTCCAAGGCCCCGACCTCAATATCGGGCACGCCGAGCAAAAAGGACGAATATACTTTTGAGAGCGTGCCTGCGACTCCAGCCCTGGACCGCCCTAGGTCCGCCGCTTTCACGACCTCGGCTGATCTATCCAAAGCCCTCAGCAAAACTGCCATTTCCAATGGATCGGCCGCGCGGGCTAACGGGTCCACGAACGGCAACTCGGATTACTTCCGGCCGGGCACCTCTCACGGCGCAGCCGCCGCCGCCGGTCCCACATCAGCTGGCGGGCGCTCCACACCCACCCACGGCAAGAACGAGTCTGTCTCGTCACAAGCACCACCTTTTACGACACACGACTATGCCAACCACAACCTCATCAACAGCTTCCAGGCCAAGCCAGGATACAAGCAGTGGGTGGCACAGGCTGGCATTCTCATTGCCGACCTACTTACGTGTGCTGGCGCCGACCATGTCATCACCATGGATCTCCACGACCCGCAGTACCAGGGCTTCTTCGACGTTCCTGTCGACAACCTGTACGGCAAGCCGTTGCTGCAGCGGTATATACAGCAGGGCATACCGGACTACAAGGATGCTGTCATTGTCAGTCCCGATGCGGGTGGCGCGAAGCGCGCGACGGCCATTGCAGACAGCCTTGGCATGGACTTTGCTCTTATTCACAAGGTAAGCGAAAGCGACAGAGGAAGCAATCGGGCTGTAGGACACGACACGTCTACTCGAAGTAGAAACTAACAATTTCCCAGGAACGTCGGCCTACGAAGATTACCGATCGCCAGAATGCCACAATGATGCTAGTAGGCAACGTCACAGGCCGTGTGTGCATCCTCGTTGACGATCTTGCAGACACGGCAAACACGATCACGCGTGCTGCAAAGCTACTTAAGAAGGAAGGTGCGACGTTCTGTTACGCGCTTCTGACGCACGGCGTCCTCAGTGGCGACGCGATTCCGCGAATTAATGCGTCCGCCCTCGACAAGATCATTGTTACCAACTCGGTGCCCCAGGACGAACACCGGGCCCTGTGCAACAAACTCGAAGTGCTCGACATCTCGCCAGTGTTTGCCGAAGCCATCCGCCGCGTCCACCACGGCGAATCCATCTCCGTCCTCTTCCAGTACGACTGAAGTGGGAGGATGTGAGCTGTGGGTGGGTATAGTCAGTGCAGGCGTCGAGGGTGTTGTTTTTTCTTGTACTTTGACAATGTCTGTTGCATCACGCATCCGTTATGTCTTTCTTTTTCAGTGATTGGACTGCAATTTGCATCTGCGTCTGTCCTTTTGCGCTGTTCACGCTTTTCTTTTTTTAAAGAAAAAACATTGGGTCAAAAAAATATGTCATCCATTGCGCTCCGCAATAAGATCGAGTATATCAAGGGTGGCTTTTTATGTGATTTTGGTCGATTTATTGTTGCTTTTTTCGTTTGATCTACATCTCTTTTTTGTCTTTTCGCGACACTGTTATTCTCAGAAACCCAAACTTGTGGGTGAATTAGCTCTAAAGACATGACGACCGGCGTTTGAATTATTTTTTAACACAAGGGCCGTCGAGCAGATGTGACCCGCAAGACGAGAAATGCCAAAACATGACGGTAGTGGCAGGGCGACATGCTATTACTGACGGCAGACAGCAGACTGCTGGCGACGTGACGATGATAGTGAGACCAAGGGGAAGATGGAAGACGGAAGATGGAAGACGGAAGACGGAAGACAGGCGGTATCGGACAAAGGTATGGCTTATGGCTTGTCGTCGGTCCATACGGGACGATACAAATCGTCATGTTATACGCATATAGTAGAAGAATGCACACGTTATGTGCAGCTCCTTCGTGCTTGAATAGCGATGGACAATCCTTGGAGCTGTGATACAAGTCATTGTTGGTCGTGGAATACATTCATGCGATCCTCACAGATCGTGGGGCTCTCAGATATATGACGCATGGGCAAAGGACAATACATGCCAGTGTCACATGCCAAAAAGGGTTTCCAACGGTGGTACATCTAGTTCAGCCCTACAGAATACAGCCGCCTCCATCTGACTTCGGTGAGACAAACGGTCGTAGTCTGAAATTACGTCTTTTAACAGGCTATGCGGGGCGGGGCTTGCAGGTGCGCTGCAGGTACAACAAGCGCTGCTTGCATTTGTACGTAATATGGGGGACATCCCGCGCGTTTTGCAAATGCACGAAACATCACAAGCACGATCCGATCTGGCGATCTGAGACAATCACGCCTCTTGCCCACCTGTCGTCTCTTGCACACAACATGGTAGGCTTGCACGCTCACCTACCGCTGATTGCGGCGCCGACAACATCGTATAGCCTGCTCGTCGACGTCCACCACATTCCGGCTGCGAAGCTGTTGCAGCCGTCGGTATAGATTGACGCAAGATACCCACTACACGGCATCGATGCAACGGGGACGCAGATGTACGGGTCCAGCGATAAGGACGTGGACCTGGCATACCACATCCCATACACGATGGAGAGCTGCACGTATATTGCTATGGAGACAGTGGTGATCTCGACCTGTGGAAGAGCGTAGCAATAACATGGAAGAAAAGAAGATACCAAAACGTGATCTCTGTCATTTCACCGAAGTATATGGACACTTTGTTAAGAAGGCACGGGCGGCTGGGAGTATGTGCGTGACTTATCATACCAAGAACTCGGCGACCTGTGGAACAGCCGAGTTGTACTTGTGCCGACAAAGGGCTACATGTACGGCAAGCCAACCTTTTCACGACTTGGAGAAGGAGACGCTGACGTTGCGGTACCATATCGAGGTTAAGGATAGCGACGTTAGTACTGTGCTGGTGCACAACGTGACCGGCGCGGGACAACCCGCTCCACATCTGGTTTCGCGAGATGCTGTCGCTCCACCATGTGGCGCTCGAAGCCCAAATTTGACGACGGGAGACCGACTATCCAATCCAGAATTACCCACGGCCAGACCTACCGTGCCAATGACAATGGAACCCCGGCCGCCCATCAGTGGGAGTGACCTAAATTGTGCGGGAATCCGATACTAAGCGGGACATGTCCGACCATATACGACCGCCATGTATAACGGATATGGATGGGACACTCGGTTACGGGATGACGGCGTGTTTCTATAAGACCACGGGTTAATTCAAGGCGAGGAGTTAAAGAGCAACTGGAAAGTCATCGAAATAGTAAGTTGGGATATAATGGTCATGCCCTTAAACGGGTGCACTCTTCCCTTTATCCTTACTTTTTTTATAGCTTCTTTTAAACTTTTACATTTTGAAATTCTCGTTTTCGGGGCCCCGGGCAAACCGGGCCCGGGGAGCACGCTGGGCCACCCAGATGGCCGAAACGGCCGGCCCCCGGGGCGCGAGGAATAAAACACGAAGAATCCCGACAACCAAAAATGCCCAAGTCCAGAAAATGGGGGCAGGGCGGTTACGTTTTCCACCCACACTTGGCCGTCTCCGCGGATTTCGGCCCATTTTGGTGCGGCGTACCCTCGAGCGCGCAGAGCGGCCTACCCTCGACCTGAGCGGCCTACCCTCGAGCGCCCGCCCGCAGACAGAGGCGTGCCCTCGGCCCAGCCGTCCCCCTGCCCTCCCCCCTCCCTCCCTTCCCCCCCATAACCCACGGCCCAAGTCCCGCCGCGCGCGCCCCCCGGCAAAAACAGGCTCCCTCGACCCCATCCCGTCCCTCTGCGCACTCGTCGCACGATGAGCTGTGCTAGAGGCCACCAAGCGGCGCCGGTCTCGCGAGTTCCGCAAAAACAGGCGGGACTCACGGTGCTGCGCCTTGCGTGGGACTCTACTTTTTTTTGTAGGATGTTGTAAGTATCCTGTTAGAAACTCGATGGTTGTATATAATAGTTCCGGTCGGAAGTTCCTGTTAACATACTTTTCTTTTCTTTTTTGTGTGTATGTGTTTGGATATTCTTTTATATCTCTCGTTTTCCCCCTTTTCGTGTTTTATCTTTCTACGTACGGGACTTTTGATCAGATACTTACCTAGTCACATAGCAAGATAACTTATATAATCCTGTGGAGCTGGAGCCAAGATCTCCCGGCCCGACTCAGTATAAGATTATTACTGTTAAACGGTCCTCCCTCTACTTACTGAGTAAGACTGGGAAAACCTGGCCTTTATGTAAACTAGATTGGTGATTTAAATAAGAGGCCCAGTCAGGTGAGACTTCTGCTCAGAAGTCCGTGTGTTTTAAGAAAATGGGAAGATGGCAGCACCGGAGAAAAGACAAAAGAAATAAGCAAGCACCTTCACACACAGAAAAGAACAGGTAGGTTGACAGGAGTTCTGACCACAAGTCCCGTCAACAGCCATCGAGTCCTTCAACTAGTGAGTGAAACTTGCAGAAAATGGTAGGAAACTCTCACCGTAGTCCTTACTACGCTTCGCTGCTTTAGTGGTGGGGGTAGGGCATCCCATCCCATTTCACTACCGGCAATGTCCTAGAGAAAATGCAAAAAAAAGATTGTAGGACGCCAGATAACGAATACAGGAGAGCCCCAACTGCTACTTTCCTGACGTCAAACTGTCAAAGAACAAAGGAACAAAACTGCTTACAAAACGGGATAGCGCAAAGCGCATAGCCGAAGGAAACGAGAAGGAAAACAAAATAGTCCCCTTTTCTTACACCTTGGCCCAATACCCTCTGTCGTCGGTTCCAGTCCCAGCTCGAGAAAGAAACAGTATTGAAATTCCCTGTTACTACGAAGATGTCCTCCTTGAGTTTTGGCTGGTGTGTGGTGTGTTTCAATGTGGTAAGGTTCCATACGTCATCCCCCCCCATAGACATAGTTCGTTCACATGCCAAACTGCCATACCACGAGGGCGATCTCCCCGTGCCTGCATCGCCGCCATTGTACCTGAACAGGACTGAGAAAGTGCCGCGAGCTGCCACACGTTGCAAGCGGGCACCGAAAAGACTTACAGTTGGCCGAAAATTGGTCTTCCACCTCGGAATGTTGACCCGCCCATCACAAAAGCCGGCATGGTCGAACGAACCTATATTTTCCGGCCTCGACGCAACTTTCAATTACATCGCCGGGGCGTTTGTCTTGTTTGCCGTCATAGGCGTTTTCGTCATTGTTGCCGCAGGTTTTGGCATCGGTCCCAGTGGGGGTGTTTACGTGTTCACATGCCTGAGCTATGTGGCTGCCAGCCTCAACTGGCCAGAGTGAGACCCCGCGAGCATAGGACAGACCGTGCACGAGAGACAAACACGTGCTGCACATGCTTTCGGGCAGGACATTTTCTCACAAAGAAACAGGAGACAGAAGGGAGGAAACACTCTCGGCCAGCACGGCTTTCCCTGTCGAGGGTTTGAGCCAACTCTAGGGAGTAATCCCATGAGCAAGGCCAGTCATTTGGCAGTGTGCCTTGGGAAAAGGCTCAGCTACTCGCCTGTTAAACTACTGCCAAGTTTTGGGACATACCACGGTACTCAAGTGGCTTTATTATGTGTGATGGATTAAGATGGCTAGAATTTGTATTTGAGTTTCTGTTGGAAACTCGGCTTGGGGGTATCATGCTATGGAATCGCTAAGCTAATATGGAGAGGGAAAAAAAGAAACGAAAAATAAATAGGTAATGCCGATGAATGAGAACACACAAAAAAGCAGAAAAAAAAGATCCCGAGGCCCAGCAGAGGCCATGCAAATGCCCCGAATACGATGTTGCTATGCTCCCGAACAAATAGAAATACAAACTAGACAATAAACATGCGTGGTAGGGTATAAGGTGATTACGGTGTAAACAGATGGGAATGATGTAAGAGGGTAATATGATGTAGTGATGAATGGAAGGATGACACGAGGGCGCAGCCCAAGTCAACCTCGGGTAGATGGTGGTTGTAGTCGCGCGCGCTTCGGCTAAGAGGGTCTGTCTCGCTGTGTGGCGGCTCGAAAACGGGTCGGGTGTGGGGTTGAAGGGGAGAAGACTCATCCTTCTTTTTGTGGGTGAGTCTTGTCCGCTATCTGCTTATCCACAGTCGCCCCAGTTTTTTTGGTGTGCATGCGATGCTGATTGGTCGGAAATACCCTATTCTTTTTCGAAGCGGCGGTAAAGCGGCCGCATCGCTGAACAGCGCCTGGACGTGGCCAGCGGCCAGCGGCCAGCGGCACGTTTGTTGGCTGGGAAGTCTGTGTTGCAGACTATGGGAATGCCTGCCTGCTTAGGCATCCTCGGCAATGGCAGTCAGCTTGGCCGACTTCTTGCGCGAAGAGGCAGATGGTGAAGCACCGATAGTAGCAGCAGCAGTAGCAGCTGCTGCTGCGCGGCGCTGGCGGCGCGCAGCCGACGCCGCCGTTTTGCGGCGCTCCTTCTCGAGCAGGACTGCGCGGACCAGCTCGCGCTGGTAGGCAGAGCGCTCGCGCTGGATTTCGGCCAGCTCGTCCTCGGACGGGTCGGCAGGCGCAAAGTTGTTGTTCACCTCAGCCATGACGGCAAAAGGCTGCTGGGCATTGCGCCAGCCCTGGGGTGGTGAGATGCTGGAGGCGTTGCTGTTGCTGCGGCTGGAGGCGCCGCTGCTGGTGTAGCCGGGGTCCTCCATGTCGTCGAGAAAGAGGTCTTCGTCACTCAGGTACGAGGAACACGAGGACGCGGACGAGCCAGACCCCAAGCAAGCCCGGTTGGGCCATGAGGGGAAAGCGCATGCTGTGGAAGAGCGGCCGCTGCCGATGTTGATGGGCCAGGAGGTCTCTGCGGCACTGCTCATGGAGCTGTATGAGCCGTACGAGCCGTACATGTTGGCGGTTGTGGGTGTCCGCTGCGTGGCGATGGGCAGATACAGTCTCGTTGTATCCAAGTCGTATTTGTGATTCTGTATCAAGTCGTTGGTGTTGAGAAGAGTGCGCGATAGCTCGGTAGAGACATGTGTTGTTGCTTTGTGAAGACTGGATGGGAAGTGCGAAGACGAAAGGCCACTAATTCTTCTTATGGTGTGTCAATATGAACAAAGTCGGAAGAAACTGGGGAAGAGGGAAAAGAGAAAAGAGACGGAAGAAAAAAGAGGAGACGCGATGCGTGTGAATATATATTTTCGTGGGAGGGAAAGACGAGAGACGAGAACCAGGAGGAAGGGGACACCCACCGACTCATACGAAAGGGGAAGGAATGGGAAGAGGTGGGCGTGTGCGATTTTCACGAGGCAGCAGCGCGGGTCGAGAACCGCAAGGGAGGGGCGTGTCTGTCCGGGGGGAGGGGCGTGTTGTTGCGGACCGCTCGATTCCCGAGGGAGCACTTTGTCGACTGAAGGGGCGTGGGCGTGGGGGAACGGGCTGGAACTGTCAAGGAAAGAGCCGGGGAAGCACCGTTTGCTTGTGCCAGTGTTGGCCCGTAGCTACACGCCCTCCCGACCGTTTTCAGCTTTTGATTAGGACGCAACAAAACGGTGGCTCCCACGCTACCAGCAGGGTGGCCCAGACCGCCCTTCTTTCCGTTTGCTCGTGCTTGCTCGTGCCCACAAGCGGGACAGGGCATGAGCGTATTCTGTATTACGAAATAATACGCCTTGACTGTGCTGCTACTTTCTTCCGTCTTCCTGTGGCGTTGACCGCCATTCCGCTGCCGATGATTCCTGGCTTTTTTGCGCTTCGTTCCTGCACCGAAGGCATCATCACTGTCGCCGAAAACAGGAGGTGCATCGAACAAGGGTACACTTTACTTTGTTGGACGGAGGCCTGGATGCGTCCTCCATGAACACTTGTCTCGATTTCTAGTCAATACAGACCTAGCCAGGTATGGTTGCATTTTTGAACAGAGCGTAGTAATGATTGCCTGTTTTGTTTGCAGAGGTGGACAGGGACATTACTGTATTCAGTATTCTGGCGGTGCGATTCGACATCGCCAACCGATACGATATGGTGCGATGTGATGCGATGCGATACGAGAAAAAGGGATGACGAGTGGCCGACTGTTTTGTGCAGCCGAGTCCGATAAACGGGTGACCTTCACCGCCCTTCACAAAAGCGCTCGACGTGTGTGTCTGGATGGCATGCCTGCGCGTCTGCATGCAACTGCAGGTCAAGAGCAAGCGCCCGCAGGCGTGGGATGTGTTGCAGTGCAACGAGGAGGGAGGGGTGAGAAGACGAGGCGACATGAAGGTGAAGACAGTAGCGTTTGGTATCGGCGCCGGACATGAGCGACAATTACCACGTCGCAGAGAGGCCAGAATTGGGGCAGCGCGCCCGACGAGACAATTCAGTCAGATGTAGCCGGAGGAAACAAAATGACGAGACTGGCGAAGCAACCCTGAGAAGCATCCGGAGAAACAGCCAGCGCACACTGTTATCCGTCAGACGGGTGAGAGCCACGCTGGGTACGAAAACAGACATACAGTTGGCGCTTGTTTGTTCTTGTTCTGTTGTCTGTTGGTCGTGGGGATTTGGCGAAATTGGCTCAATGAAGTAACACTCCGCCTCCTTGTCGTCGACGCAAGGATACGACAATAAGGGCCGCACGGAGATGCAGAAACACTGTGTCTGTCACCGACGGCATATGCCTCTTTCCGGTCGTTGTGTAGTTTTCAGTTTCAGTTCTGGTGCTTGACATGACGATGTCCTAGGATTTTAATTCCGCCTTTCCCGTGTGGACATTGTTGGTATTCAGGCCTTTGGTCGGCTTTAAATCCTTGATCCGCCATACTCACGGAGTCTTCCTGAATACGCTGTTGCCCCGCCCTCAGTCTTTCGTGATAGCATTCATAGTATGGGCAAAAGTGCATTCGTCACCTCTGCCGTCCCCAGCTTTTCGCCACGGACACAAATTCCGGGGCGACTACGACGTGTTATGCAGCGTATTAGACAGCTCACTCTGCACATTTAACAGAGTCCCGCCCTGGGTTTCGAAGCCTCAGCACATTCCGCCTCGCATTCGCATGATCGGGATGAGGCAGACGGATTTTTTTTTAGTTTTTATTTTATTTTTAATTTTGTCATGTATATATATATATTGGAACGGTATCTGGCTGCTTTGGGCTGGATTCATGCCATATTACTCTGGGTGTGTGGTGACGTTGCCTTGGGCCATGAGTCACTAAAAACACCCTGTTATTCACATGTATCCATGTGAGGAACGTTTGTTTGCGTGTCACCAATCCGCCCGCCCACGGAGTCATTACGTGGCTCGCAAACAAACACAGCCCCTTATTACTGTATCTGTATATCATCTCGTTGTCCCACCTGCTCATATCATGTTCGTCTGGTCTGTCTTCTTCTGTCAGCCTGAGAACGCTATAATTACTGCCATCGTCGGGCTTCCCCAAGAACGATACACAGCTGCCAGTCCTTCGCGTAATCAATCCCATATGGATTCGTGCGACTCACCACGTCGTTCGATGTCCGCAATCCTGATTTCTCCTTCGCTTTCGCTCTTTTGGTCCTTGTTCCCAGTCCGCCTGCTTTTGTGTCCACAGTCCCTCTGGCTCACCGGTGCCTCCTATTACCCAAGGACCAAGGGCCGCAGAAAGGGACGACCCAGAATATACAACGTCCGAGCGCTCATTTGCCCCATTTCTCCCGTCCCTCTGGCCCTTTCCCCCTCCACCGTATCCTTCGTGGCACATTCCTTGGTCCTACCCTTTCAGGAACGTCCTACATTTCCAAACCTGGGGTTGACAGCCATTGAATGCTGAAGACATTCGAAGGGGGGCCACGACGTTTCTTTGTGCCTTGTTCACTGCCGGTGTTCGTGTTCGGTCATCGTTTTGTCTTGTTGTTCACGTCTTTGTCAGGATGCCGTGACAGTAGTTACGTCGCAGTTGGTACTGACTTGCACCGCCTCGACTCTACGACGTGCAAACGCTTTCATTCCATGGTGTTTGTTTTCTTTTGCCTCCCGTATTGCAGGCCGCATTTTTTTTGTTTTCATATTTATGTCGCCGTTGCAACCACGCCCAGCCAAACTGGACAACGTACAGAGTAAACTCTGGCCACCTCAGCCAGGACCGTCTCCTTTGCTCCCTGGCGACCCTTCTGACTTTTGACGGGGCTGCAGCGTGCCCACAAAGGACGCTAAAGGCCCCACTGAACGCATCGTCCCGTGTCCCTCTCCGTTTGGCTCAAATCAGAGACATAAATTTTACAAGGCGACGATCGGATGAAAATTTCCTTGCCTCTCTGTCCCTCTTTCTCCTGATTTTCGGGTTTCTTCCTTCTTTCATCTGTTTTTGTTTCTCTCGTTTTCATGTTGCCCAACGGTCTGGCGGCGCCTTCAACGGGACGGCACCCCCATTGCGGTTTTTTTTTCGGACAGTCACATTTGCCAGAATCAGTCAGCTTTGGTTGTTCTTTCGCTCGCTGGCATCCTTGCACACCGGTACTTTGATTATGTCTACTGTCAGGACGCGGTTTGAATTTGTTTGGTTGCTGTTGCTCGGACTTGCCCACGGCAAGACAGCAGCATCCGGTTGTAGCTGTTGACCGCCATTCATCTCTGTCTCTCTTGCGTCTGCAAATGTTTGGTTCAGCGTACGTCTCCTAATTTGTGGCCCGCGCTGCCGTCCCCTCTTCACCGTAACCTTTTGCCCTCATCCCTGTCCGTGGAAAGCCGGAAGACGAAGCCTAGATGCCCACACTTATGCATACCCCCCACCCCCTGTGTCCAGACGGTCTGGTCTTTTCTTAGGGAAGATTGCAAATCGCTCCGAACGTGCTGAGAATGAGACATACTGCGAGGGGACCGTTGCTGCACCGGACGCGATAGCCGAATGTCGCATTCCATTCCCGGCAAAGCAGGGCTGTTCCCCGGCAAGGTAGAGTGAGAGAGGACTTTACGGCGAAATTGGTCATGATGATCGTTTTTGATAGACAGTCTAGTGAGGATGACGGGAGCAGAGACGCGACAAGTGCTGAAGGACAAGCAGCCAGAGCTGAATGCACAGCAATACGTGTACACAAATGCACAGGTAAAGACACGCCTGCACAAGACAGCTCAATCCCTTCGTACCATGACAACATTCAACCAAAATAAAAGAAACACTGTGCCTCAACCCATCTTGTGTCAATCCGGCCAGTTGTCGGCTCGAGGCTTCCAGACTTCTGGCCAAGAAAACACTGGCGGTTGAACGGCATCAGCGGTCCGTCTAGTTTTTGGATGGACTTCTCATTGGTCAGCCGCACCGTTCTTCTTGTTCTTCAGTGCAGTCTGTCAACAACCACCATTTCGCTCTAGACCACATACTCTCGCTGCTCGGCCATCTAGACTCGCCCATCACACCGTTCCAGACGGCATGTCGATATTGAGCGCCGTTGATCGTCTCTCTCGTACAGAGTATGGATTCAGTTTTTTATTTTGCCTCTCGTTTTCTGTAACCAATTCCGAGGGGCTCTTGAATAGTTATTGCCGTTTTGTCTCCTTTTTGCTTCCTTTTTGTCTCTTTTTGCCCTTTGTTTCCAAGGGATTGTGGCTCCGGGCGAGATCTAGACGAAATGCCGAGAATACGTAGAACCGTTTTACCCGAATTCATGGGGTTTAATGGGTCGCGATTGGCTAGCAAGTGGCTCCCGACGCCCAGACAGTTGCAAGTCCCAGCAAAGTGCAAGACGGCGAAAAACGGGCGAAAGACGCCCCAAAACAGGAAAGAGCTGGGGTCGCCATTCGCCACCGTTTACCCCAGTCTCTGCCGCCTCGGGTCGTCCTCCACCTGTTTCCATCCAACGAGCCGACAAGGAGAGCATGAGCGTCCCGTGTAAATCGCATTTCGTACGGCAATAACGAGCAAAAAGGACAAATATAGTGTGATGCGGC